TGCTGTGCAGATATTTCCAGAGCTTTTAGGATTATTTCTTTATTATGCTAAAATCAATATAACAGAACTTCAAGGTGGCATGCAGTTAAATCAATTAAAAAATAAATAGAATAAAAACTTTTTAGATTTGCTTAACAAGCTCAAACAAGGTTTAAAAGAATAAAGGTTTTGAAAGTCATTGGTATTTGTGTTTTGAGAGAAATCGGCTGGGTCCAAAGGCTTTAACCAGCTGTTACTTAATGTCTAACTGAAATCAGCATTGGCATCCATTGGGCCAATTAGGCGCCAACCCTCTTTGACAAGGAAAGCGAAAGACCTTGTAAAACGACAACTCCCTGCATGCCATTGCATTGAGCCATCATAATTAAAGCGGGGTCAAATTATTTTAAAACTGGGTTGTTGTGAATTTTCTGGGCGGTATGGCCATGTTCCAGAAGCATTCTCTCCTGATGTTTCACCTGCATCTATGACAGTCACCCTCAGAGGTTGTAGTTGTATAAGGAATTCAGCCTCCTGTGGCAAAAAGGGCTATTTTGCAGGGGTCCTGGGTCTCAAATATCAATGAACACAGAGCATCAACTATACAATGCATCCTATGGCATCTCTTAAATAACCAAAATATGTTGAGTGGCCCTAAAAAGTGAACAAGGGCAAGCTTCTACCTTCAGCATATCAAAGGGGAAACTTATACTGTACTAACAATGGAACAATGGAACAGACTTTGAATAACACATCCTGGAGCATTTTTGCATTTGGCATGGTTTTAAGAGGGATCATAAAATTATCTTATCCAGATCTTGCTCGACAAAGTGGGGATTTAAATACCACCGATATGAAAACCTGGATGGTGGGAAAACAGCCAACCATGGGCAATAACTCTGTCACCTTGCATTCTGGGCACCACAATTGAAGAGAGAGATTGACAAGCGGGAATGAGTCCAGAGGAGGGCGACTGAAATGATCAAGGGTCTGGAGAACAAGCTCTATGAGTAGCGGCTTAAAGAGTTGGGCATGTTTAGCCTGAAGAAGAGAAGGCTGAGAGGAGATATGATAGCCATGTATAAATATGTGAGAAGAAGTCACAGGGAGGAGGGAGCAAGCTTGTTTTCTGCTGCCCTGGAGACTAGGACGCAGAATAGTGGCTTCAAACTACAAGAAAGGAGATTCCATCTGAACATTAGGAAGAACTTCCTGACTGTGAGAGCCGTTCAGCAGTGGAACTCTCTGCCCGTGAGTGTGGTGGAGGCTCCTTCTTTGGAAGCTTTTAAACAGAGGCTGGATGGCCATCTGTCAGGGATGCTTTGAATGCAATATTCCTGCTTCTTGGCAGGGGGTTAGACTGGATGGCCTACGAGGTCTCTTCCAACTCTATGATTCTATGATTCCAGTGTCTCCTTGTTAAAACGTTGTCCGGACTCAATGTCTAGTAATTCCATTTTCCTATGTCAGTTACTCTGCATTTGCAAACGCTTGTTCAAAAAGTCACGTCTTGACTTTTTTCCAGAATGTTAAAATGGTGGTGGTTGATCTAATATCTATAGGGAGTGCGTTCCACAGCCACCACCGAAAAGTTGTTATAGTGGCTCTATCCCAAGGTTTTTGTGACATGGTTTATTTGCAGGATATTTACTACTGTCTTCTTCTTGGAATGAAGTGGACTTGGACCTTGGTTTCTCTGAGACTTTTGCAACCTGTGGGTCCCCAGATGTTTTGGCCTTCAACTCCCAGGAATCCTAACAGCTGGTAAACGGCTGGGATTTCTGGGAGTTGTAGGCCAAAACACCTGGGGACCCACAGGTTGAGAACCACTGACTTAGGGCATCATCCCACGGTGCCTCTCCAAGTGTTTCTAGACATTGACGATATGGAGCCTTACAGAGCTCATCAGATGATGCAAGATTATTTTGCAAGTTCCCTATTTCAGTCCATTTCTAAAGTGTTTTGAAACACAAGGATTTTAAAGATGCTAAGGAATTGACTTGAGATGGTTGCCTGCGCATAGAGTTGTGTTAAAATGGCAAAACTCAAATGTGATGAGAATTGTTTTCTTTCTCCACATTCTGTTTTAAGATGTTTTCCTGTGGGTAGTCCTTAAATGCACCCCAAAGACGATGTTTACTGCCATTACTCTATGGACATGAGACAAAGCCATAAATTGTTGTATTAATATCTTAATATAATACTGTTTTCATTTTGCCGTGAGATAGAGAACTTCCACAACTGAGAAATTATCTTTTTAAAGGGGGAGGGGGTGTAAATGGGAGGAGCCTGTCCTTTCCCAAGTCATGGAAAAGCAAACAGATGATTTTGGTTAAAAGAAGAGAAGAAAAGAAGAGAAGGTCAATTCATAGATTGACCTTGAGTTTTGGAATTGTAGTTCACCTACATCCGGAGAGCACTGTGGACTCAAACAATGAAGTATCTGGACCAAACTTGGCATTAATACTCAAAATGTGAACACAGGTGGAGTTTGGGGAAAACAGATCTTGACATATGAGAGATGTAATTGCTAGGATTGTGATGGGGGCAAGTTAATTCTCCAGATCCTTTGGAGATGAAGCGATATGAAGACCATTTCCCTCCCCCTTTCCATGGGATGAGGTCCCTAGTAGGCTTGTGCAATTATGCTGGAAGGTGATCTGGTTTTCATTGGGCACCCAGATCTGTTTTTTGAGAGCTTCCCAAAAATCAGCTAATGGAAATAGCTCTTTTTGGCTAGGCAGCCAAAAGATCCAGGAAGGTCCAGCTAAGAAAACTTATTAAATTCATCAGCTCAAGTGACTTAAAGGCACACTCATATCCACGCAATCTGCTGGTGACGTTTTGCATTCCGAAGCGGTGACCCATTACAGTCCTCTGACAGCTGATGTATTTTCTCTGTGAATTTGTTTCCTTGATGTTCAGCGAAGTCCTCTTTGAATGGGTTTTTTTTCAGACTCCCGCTTTCTCTTCCTTATCTCTTATCTCTGGTAATTGAACTTAATAGCTTCCCAGTATCAGCACTGTCATCAAACTTGGAGAACTTGGCATGCAAACAAACAAAGATCCATTCTGATGAATCATGCTGTCTGATCCATTGTAGCTTTTCATTTGTTGTTGCTATGATCTTATCATTCTCTCTCTAGTTCCTACTTTCTTCTTCCCTTCTTATTCTTTTCTTTACTGTATATAACTTTTAATGCTATCTATCTATCTATCTATCTATCTATCTATCTAGAGGTAAAGGTTTTCCCCTGACATTAAGTCCAGTTGTCTTCGATTCTGGAGTGTGGTGCTCATCTCAATTTCTAAGCCGAAGAGCTGGCATTGTCCGTAGACACCTCCAAGGTCATGTGACCAGCATGACTGCATGGAACGCCGTTACCTTCACTCCGGAGCAGTATCTATTGATCTACTCACATTTGCATGTTTTCGAACTGCTAGGTTAGCAGAAGCTGGGGCTGACAGCGGAAGCTGACACTACTCCCCGGATTCGAACCTGTGACCTTTTGGTCAACAAGCTCAGCAGCTCAGCGCTTTACCCCACTGCGCCACCGGGGGCTCCATATACAGTATATATATGGTGATCCAGCAATGATTTTGATTTGCCCATCCAGTATTATTCCCTAGCTGATGGACATAACTGACTTACATAACTTACCTTAGTGCAGTGTTTCTCAATCTTCCTAATGCCACGACCCCTTAATACAGTTCCTCATGTTGTGGTGACCCCCAAACATAAAATTATTTTCGTTGCTATATCATATCTGTAATTTTGCTATTGTTATGCATCGTAGTGAAAATATGTGATATGCAGGATGTATTTTCATTCAATGGACCAAATTCGGCACAAATACCCGATACGCCCAAATTTGAATACTGGTGGAGTGGTGGGGGTTGATTTTGTCATTTGGGAGTTGTAGTTGCTGGGATTTATAGTTCACCTACAATCAAAGAGCATTCTGAACTCCACTACTGATGGAATTGAACCAAACTTGGCTCACAGAACTCCCATGACTGATAGAAAATATTGGAAGGGTTTGGTGGGCATTATTATTATTTATTATTATTTCAATATTTATATCCCGCCCTTCTCCCCACAAGGGGGACTCAGTGCGGCATCACATGAGCATCCGAGGATGCTAACAGCATAAATACCATAAAAATTACAATTCATAATAAAATCATTTTAAAACATTATACAACATCATCCATAAAAATTTAACAATAAATTCATAGATTGACCTTGAGTTTTGGAGTTGTAGTTCACCTACATCCAGAGAGCACTGTAGACTCAAACAATGATGGATCTGGACCAAACCTGGCATGAATACTCAAAATGTGAACACTGGTGGAGTTTGGGAAAAACATACCTTGACATATGAAAGATGTATTTGCTGGGATTTATAGTTCACTTACAATCAAAGAGCATTCTGAACTCCACCAACAATAGAATTGGGACAAACTTCCCACACTGAACCCCCATGACCAACAGAAAATACTGGAGGGATTTGTAAGGAATTGACAGTGATTTTGCAGAGAGTACGCCTGCTCTCCCCTCTCCGCATGGGGTCTCAGACACAGCCCCCTCCCCTTGTCTGAGAGGCCAGCCAATCACACCAGAAGAAGAACTTTTGGTGGAAGGATTTGCCTTCTGTTTCCAAAGAAGAAAAGAAGGACAGGCGGAGAGATCTTCAGCCTTCTTTGCCAAAGGGGTTCCTAAGACCATCAGAAAAATGTGTTTTCTGATGGTCTTTGGCGACCCCTCTGGAACCCCCTCATGACCTCTCCAAGGGTCCTGACCTCCAGGCTGAGAAACACTGCCTTAGTGAGATGTGCAGTACTTCTTATTTGAATTTAGACAGTATTTGTATCCATTTTTATATATTTAGCACATGCAAATTTCATGGAGGGCTGCATTCTGGTGTTTGTTGATATATATGCAACCTTTCAACTGAAGAAATCTACCAATTCTAATGTTTTTCTATTTCTGATTCTTCTTTTTCTGCCTCTCTCACTAGGGGAGAAGTGTAAATATGATCCCTCTTTCCGTGGTCCTATCCAGAAAAGGTAATTCAGCTTTTGTGAAATGAAAGGATGAATGGAATGGGGACTCAGATTACGCATACGGGACTGAAGAAGGGAGGAAAATATCTAGGGAAAGAATTAGTTCAAAACAGACTAAACGGACGAGGAGGGAATTGGTACATTAAGTTATTACAGGTTGAACATCTTTATTCGGCATTCCCAAATACTCCAAAATTGGCCATATGGGTAGCTGAGATAGAGACATATTCGCTTTGCTGGTGGTTCCATGTACAGAAACTTTGTTTCATGCAAGGAATTATTTAAAATATTGCATAGCATTTTGGGCAAGTTATGGGAATGAGGTGTTTATGAAACATAAATTAATTTTGTGTTAAGACTTTGGTCCCATCTCCAGGATAGCTAATTTTGTACATATTTATTTATTTATTTATAGTATGTTTTATTTATTTATTTATTTAAAGCATTTATATTCTGCCCTTTTCACCTCGAAGGGAACTCAGGGCAGAGCACAGCATATATATGGCAAACATTCAATCCCGGGACAAGAATTCATTATATGCATACATAAACATTAAAAACATTTATCTCAATATTAAAATACACTGTTTAAAACTGTCTAGCTCATTTTGTTCATATTTATTTATTTATTTATTTATTTATTTATAGTATGTTTATTTATTTATTTTAAACATTTATATTTCACCCTTCTCACCCCGAAATGAACTCAGGGCAGAGCACAGCATATATATGGCAAACATTCAATGCCCTTATACACTGACAAGAGAGACAATTGTACATAGATAGAGGTATATTTAGGCGTTCCCATCTTCGGCATCTTGGAGGCTGTGCTTGGTTCCAGCCACAGGGGGTGCTGTTGCGATACTTTCCCTGCTAAAGAGCTTTTTTGAAAACTTCCTCCTTGATCAAATTGCCAGCATTTTTCTGGCATTTCCTTATGGATGCCTTAAATACCTCCTCACTTTAAGTGGTACCTATTTATCTACTAACATTTGCTTTCAAACTGTTAGTTAGGCAGAAGCTGGGCTAAAGGCCAGGAGCTCACCCTGACCTGGCCTTCGAACTGCCAACCTTTTGATTGGCAAGATTTACTGCAACTGGTGGTTAACCTGCTGTGCTAAAACCCGGGAAAGTCTGGAGGGAAACCAAATTTGAAAACCCTTCTAGCCTCAAGCATTTGAGATAAGAGATACTCAAGATAGATAGATAGATAGATAGATAGATAGATAGATAGATAGATAGATAGATAGATAGATAGATAAGATAAGATAGATATATCGATCAGTGGTTCTCAACCTGTGGGTTCCCAGGTGTTTTGGCCTACAACCAGTTTACCAGCTGTTAGGATTTTTGGGAGTTGAAGGCCAAAACATTTGGGGACCCACAGGTTGAGAACCACTGATCTAGATAGATAGATGGATGGATGGATGAATGGATCAATCGATCGATCGATAGATAGATAGACAGATAGATTTAAGGACTCCCCTGTAGAAACGAGCTTTGGCCTTTTGCTCATTGCCTTCCACTGTAGAGTCAATGAAATTTAGTCCCACTTTAACTCCCAGGGCTCAGTGCTATCAAATCCTGGGATTATAGTTTGGTAAGGCTTAAGCATTCTTTGGCAGAGAAAGCTAATGACTTCGTAAAACAACAACCTCCATGATTCCAATGGATTGAGCTATGGTAGTTCAAGTGGTGCTAAACTGTATTAATTTTACAGTGTAGATGCACCCGTAGTAGTGAAAATAATTTACTGTGTGCATTCTGAGAAAGGTTTCTTATTGGGTATGGCTCTCCAATCTAGCTGCCCTGAGTTCCTTCAGGGAGAGAGGTGCAGGTTAGAAATCAATACAACAGCCAGCAGAGTGACCTTGTTTGCTGTGTACTAATCTTTTTATGTTTCATATAATAATAATAATAATAATAATAATAATAATAATAATAATAATAATATATGAAACACAAGATTAGTACACAGCAGACAAGGTCACTCTGCTGGCTGTTGTATTGGATCACATGTCGGACACTTCCCAAGTGTGTAGGACTGTGTGATGTATCGACGTATAATGCGTGCAGATCCCAGTAGGATTGCCTTTTCCAGCTGACAGATGGCAATTTTGTCAGCACCTAGTGTGTTTAAGTGCAGGCCAATGTCTTGAGGAATTGCACCCATGTGCCGATCCCCACTGGGATCACCCTTTGCGGTTCGATCTTTAAATCCTCATATCGTGTCAGCTTTTCCAGTTGTTTCTCTTCAATCCTGCTGTTGCCTGCGATTGCAACATTGACAATTAATACTTGGTTTTTTAACACGATCGTGAGGTCAAGAGTATTATTATTATTATTATTATTATTAAATACAACAAGATGAGTCCACAGCAGACACTCTGCTGGCTGTTGAATTGGATCACACGTCGGACACTTCCCAAGTGTCTAGGACTGTGTGATGTATCAGCGAATAATGCGTGCAGATCCCAGTAAGGTGGCCTTCTGCAGCTTATTATTATTATTATTATTATTATTATTATTATTATTATTATTATGGCTATGAGACTTTTTTTCAGTGCTGAGCCTTAAAGATTGTTCAGTCCTTCCAGAATGAGGAGTAGACCATTTGGACTGCATTTCCCAGAATCCCCCCAGCATAGCCAGTAATCATACTGATTCAGGAATTAGGGGGCACATAATATAAACAAGTTTTCTAAGTTCTGTTAAGTTTTGAGGGGTTAGATATGTAGTGTAGTAATTAGTGGATGTGGGTGTGTTGGCCTCATGGTGTCTTTTTCTTTTTCTCCAGGAGTTGTACAGATATTATTTGTTGTGTTATTTTCGCTGTTTTCATCGTTGGTTACATTATCGTGGGGCTTGTGGGTAAGTAGCACTGAAAACTTCAGATACGCCACAGAATTGTACTTTTGGGCTCTTTAACCACAAATCAGAACCGGGGATGTTTTTGCACATAGAACTAATACAGTTCGACACTTCTTTAACTGCCATGGCTCGATGCTAGGAAAACCTGGAAGTTTTAGTATAGCTAGGCACCAGCATTTTTTGGTAGATAATCATAGAATCCTAGAGTTGCAAGAGACCTCATGGGCCATCCAGTCCAACCCCCTGCCAAGAAGCAGGAATATTGCATTCAAAGCACCCCCGACAGATGGCTATCCTGTCTCTGTTTAAAAGCTTCCAAAGAAGAAGCCTCTACCACACTCCAGGACAGAGAGTTCCACTGCTGAATGGCTCTCACAGTCAGGAAGTTCTTCCCAATGTTCGGATAGAATCTCCTTTCTTGTAGCTTGAAGCCATTGTTCCATTGCGTCCCAGTCTCCAGGGCAGCAGAAAACAAGCTTGCTCCCTCCTCCCTATGACTTCCTCTCACATATTTATACATGGCTATCATGTCTCCTCTCAGCCTTCTCTTCTTCAGGCTAAACATGCCCAGCTCTTTAAGCCGCTCCTCATAGGGCTTGTTCTCCAGACCCTTGATCATTTTAGTCACCTTCTTCTGAACACATTCCAGCTTGTCAATATCACTCTTCAATCTTATAAAACTACATTCCTGTGGTTCCATTGCATTGAGTCACAGCAGTTAAAGTGGTGTCAAAGTGCAATAATTCTACAGTATAGATGCCGCCTCAGTAACATTATATTTTTACACAAGGGAAGCTGAAACCTGCCAAACATATATGATGAGTGAGTTTACAAAATAGTTTTATTTGCATGGACTTTGTTGTGGAGGCCATTTATGATCCGCATTGGCAGACGTGAAAAGCTTGAAACCCATTCTATTTTTAGCAGAATGACATGAACAATAAAACCTTACAGTCTTTGGCAATTAAAAATTAATATCTTCTGCAGTCATGAAGACTAGAAACTCTCCATGGGTTTAGCTTGCATTCTGGTAGTCTTACAGAGTTAGTTTTCTTGGGATGTATGCCTGAGTGTATTTGAGCAACTAATTGTGTATTAATAGCTATATTGATAAGAGTAATAATATGTCCTATCTAAGGAAGGGTCTAATTATTTCTTGACAGTTTTAGAGACAGTTGGTCCTATGCATTCATGTACTCAACCATCCACGGAAAATATTTCCCCAAAATAAAATCCAAAAAGCAAATCTTGCTTTTGTCATTTTGCACGAGGGACATCATTTTACTATGCCATTGTATATAATGGATTTTGGTATCCATAGCAGGTACTGAAACCAAATGTCAGCGGATACCAAGGGCCCACTGTATATTCACTGTATATTCATTCATGACCGGAATCACTGGGTTGCTGTGAGTTTTCCGGGCTGTCTGGCCATGTTCCAGAAGCATTCTCTCCTGACGTTTCACCCACATCTATGGCAGGAATCCTCAGAGGTTGTGAGGTCTGTGGAAACTAGGCAAGTTGAGGTGTATATATCTGTGGAATGTCCAGGGTGGGAGAAAGAACTCAATTGGCTGCAATTGGCCAGTTTGATTAGCATTTAATAGCAGTGCAGCTTCAAAGCCTGGCTGCTTCCTGCTTGGGGGAATCCTTTGTTGGATTTTATTTGAAAACACAGAAATGCTGGACCACTCTAACAACCACTATTTCAGACTACACAGAGAAGCTATAAAAATCCACAAGCATGTGGAAAATTTCAACAGAAAGGAGGAAGCCATGAAAATGTACAAAATCTGTCTACCAGTATTTAGAAACCCTAAAATCAGGACAGTAAATAAAGAATAACACTCAGAAGACAGGGGAATCCCAGACAAGAAACAATCAGGGCCAGTTAACACCTACCAACAACGATTCCTCTAGGCAGGAAGCGGCCAGGCTTCGAAGCTGCAAGGTTATTCCGTGCTTATCAATCTGGCCATTTGCAACATTCACACTTGCCCCCAGCAGACAAGAATTCTTTCTCCCACCCTGGACATTATTCCACCGTTATATAAACCTCACTTGAGTAGTTTCCAAGAGACCTCACAACCTCTGAGGATGTCTATCAGAGATGTGGGCAAAACGTCAGGAGAGAATGCTTCTGGAACATGGCCATACAGCCTGAAAAACTCACAGCAACTCAATCATGTGTCCCTTTTGGAATCTTTCCATGACAATCTTCAAGTCTTAGGCTGATACTTTAACCAGTAGCCTACTCTGTAAAATGTTAAGAGCAAACTCTCTCTGCTCTTTTCTCTTAGCCTGGCTCTATGGCGACCCCCGGCAAGTTATTTTTCCCAGGAATTCAACTGGATCCTATTGTGGAATTGGTGAAAACCGGTGAGTTTGGGAGAGAGATTAATGGGAAGGAAGGGAGAACCAAAGGGGGACTCAGTCATAGGAGGAGTTTTATTTTATAATTACGGATATTATATTATTTTAACACCGCCACTAGTGTATATAATTGGCATTGCTTGGTGTTGGAGTGACTGCTGCCCCCCTGCTTTCATCCCTTCTTTCTCTTGCCCTTCCCTTATACCTTTTCTGTCCTTCATTCCCTCCTTCCCTCCTTTTTCTTTCTCTACTCCTTCCTTCCTTATCCTTCCTCTTCCTTTCCTTTTCCTCTCTTTCTTTATTTACTTCCCCTTTCTCCATTCTCAAGCCCTGAGAAGGTCTACTTCGCAATGGCAACATGGCTCTCTCCTTCCTTCCTTCCTTCCTTCCTTCCTTCCTTCCTTCCTTCCTTCCTTCCTTCCTTCCTTCCTTCCTTCCTTCCTTCCTTCCTTCCTTCCCCTCATACAAATGTCAACTTTCTTTCCCAGTGACACCACTTCACCTGGCAACAGCTTTTGGTAGAAGTAGGCAGGCAGACTGATCAATAGATAGATAGACAAGCTGACGTATTTTGACTTTTAGATCGATCGATAGATAGCAATTGAAGTGGAATATTCATAGTAGTTGTGTAATTGTGTAATGCAGAGTTTCCCAAACTGTGCTCCTCTAGATGTTTTGGACTTCAGCTCCCAGAATTCTTAATGGCTGGTAAGCTGGCTGGGATATATGGGAGTCAAAACCCAAAGCACCTGGAGGAGCACAGTTTGAAAAACACTGGTATACTAGGAAAGGGCTCTTCATACGAGGATTGAATGAAAAGTAATGCTTCCACCTTCGTAACTCCTCAACAGATGGCAGTACTGGTTTGCAGCAGGTACTGGCTTGTTCAGTAGACTCTCCTCTACAGTTCCATTTTGTCTTAGCATTAGAGGAAGCTTTAGCATTGAACGGTTGTGTTGTTAAAGTGCGAAGTTTGGAACCCCGCGCAGACGGTTGGTCAATGCGACTTAAGCAACATGCAGTCATTGAATTCTTAATAGCAGAAGGTGTCACCCCAAAGGAGATTCATCAGAGAATGCAAGCTGTTTATGGTGATTGTGTTGATGTGAGTATTGTGCGTCAGTAAGCGAGTAAGTTTAAAGATGTTGAGGTGGGAACAACTGACCTGCGTAACAAACAAAGAGTTGGATGTCCTGTGACAGCAACCACCGAGTTTCAGAAGCCAAAGGTTGACAGATTGATTTGGGATGATTGTCGTATCACTCAGAGAGAAATTTCAAGCATAATCGGCATTTCACAAGAACGTGTGGGTCACATTATTGCTTTGCTTGTCTATCGGAAGATCTGTGCATGATGGGTACCCAGGATGCTGACGCCTGAAATGAAAGCTCACAGACTCGAAACTTCAGAGACTGGATCTCACCACCATACAACATCCTCCATATAGTCTAGTTTTAGCACCATCTGACTTCCATCTGTTCCCAATAATGAAAGAAGATCTGTGGGGACATTATTATGCTTCTAATGAAGATGTTGAGAGAACTGTGAGACGTTGGTTGCAGAGTGTCAACTTCTTCCATGACAGCTTCAAAAACTTGTTCATCATTGGCAGAAATTTATGCAATTGTCTGGTGATTATGTGGAAAAGTGAATAGTGATAGTTAAAGAACACATTGTAAGGATTATTTCTGCGTTTGATTTATTAAAATATTCCCATCCAAACCCAAGTAACGAAGGTGGAGGCATTACTTTTCATTCAACCCTCGTACAACTTCCCCTTCCCTCCACCAAAGGTGATGTTACACCATGGATCCTTCATTGGAAGCTGGTGCCTGGACCTTGTGTCTGCCTAATATACTCTCTAAATTCTGGATGTAAGGAAGAAGTTGGTACTTCTAATATTTTAATGTTATGTTTCCTGTGTTCTGTGTTTTCAGTGAGAAACCTTTCTTGCTCTACTTCAACCTTATCAAATGTGCCACAAGTGTGAACATCCTCGCAGCAGCAATGAATGGATTGCAGTGCCCCACAGCACAGGTAGGGTGTAGGATAGGGGTGGGTAGCCCAAGGCCCACCAAGTTCTGTGAGCTGATATCTTTTACTTATTACTTAGGCGATCCCTCATTGTCCAAGTAGGATGGCCTTCCAAGTGTAGTGTCTTGGAATTGGATACGTAGCTGGCTGTGAAGCCCTATTCTTGACCTGCATGTTCTTCCATAGTGAGGGCATTGGAAGGTGGTCCTGGTCAAGGCTGGCTTGATACACCTTCCTCTTAGCATGTTTCTCCCTTTTGCCCTCCATTCGTGCCTCTTCTAATTCCTCAGAACTGTTGGTCACAGCTGACCTCCAATTAGAGTGCTCAAGGGCCAGTGCTTCCCAGTTCTTGGTGTCTAAGTCACAGTTTTTAAGGTTAGCTGATACCACCACCATCATCTTTCAGTGTCAATGTTTACCAAGTGCTATTGGACAGTCTCGGACATCAGTGATTCCGTTTCTTTCCAAGAATCTAGAAACGAAAGAAGTATCAAATCAGGGAATGTAGCATGTTCCAAATAACATTACTTTTTAAATACAATCATAGAATTGGAAGAGAGCCCAAAAGCTATCCAGGTGAACTGCCATGGAGGAATCCACAATCCAAGCACTCCCGACAGATGGCCATCCAGCCTTTGCTTAAAAACCTCCAGGGAAGGAGACTTCACCATGGTTCCAGGCAGCATATTCCACTGCCAAACAGCTCTTACTGTCCTAAAAGCATTTATTACTGTCCTAATAAGCATTTATTAAAGTATTTATTAAAATTATTTTATTAATTTTAATTTTATGTAGTGATAACGTTTTGGTGTCGTTTTTTGTTTAGTGTTTATATTATTTTCTGTCTCTATGAATTGTTGTAAGCCGTCCCGAGGGTGCGGGCTATAAATAAAGATAATGATGATGATGATGATGATTTGAACCCATTGCAAATGGTATTCTTGTGATCCCATTACAAAAAGTGACATTACTTGGAACATGAAGATTTCATGGTTGGCTGTGCTCCTAATCCAAGCAAATGTGGAGGGATAATAATAATAATAATAATAATAATAATAATAATAATAATATTGATGCCTGATTTATATTTTGTTTAATGTTGTTTATGTTGTTTTAAAATGCTGTTGATGCACTTTAATGTGCTATGTTTTAACTCTGTTATCTGGGCTTGGCCCCATTTAAGCCATCCTGAGTCCCTTCGAGGGGTATAAAAATAAAATTATTATTATTATTATTATTATTATTATTATTATTATTATTATTATTATTTTACTGACACAAAACCACAGTATGTCACAGCAAACGAGATCTATATGCTGGATTTCATATCACAAAATCATAGAATTGGAAGAGACCTCATGAGCCATCCAGTCAAACTTCTCCCCTTTTGTTGGGGGGGGGGGGACGTGTGACTACTATGAGGTGACAAGAGGCCTCTCCTTGAAGGGGTGCGACTATTACACGGGGAAAGGCAAAATACCAATTTGGCCTTCCTCAAAATGAGATGCGACTAATATGCGATGGTGACTATAATGCGATGATACATGTAGGTAAGTGAAATTAGTATCAGTCCCACAGAAATGGGATTTGTACTCTTAACCATTGTTTTGTGCCATTTTTGTGGTGGATTTGGAAATTTGAGAGAAATTTTATCCTCTGGTTTTCAATGATGGTGAAAAGAACATTAGGGTTGCATGTTTTCCTCATCCTTGCTTTCTGCCATATCTATTAATAATGCTTCTTTTTTCCCCAGATTTGTGTCTCATCCTGTACGGAGAAGTTCTGGGTTGTGCCACCCATTGCCTTTTTCCCTCCTGGTAGCCCACTTTACCAGCGTCCTTCCAAAATATGGAACCAGACGTTATGCCAGCCAAGTATTGACCTTGGCACCACTAACCTGGTATGTTGGGGGTGCAGTTTGTACTTTTTGTTAGACCACCTTGATTCTTTGCCCTCCTCTTATCCCTAACAGTTTAAGGTAAAAGCAAACCTGATATCTTGCTTAATTGGGTGGGGTTTAAAATAACCTTCAAAGAAGGAGACTCCACTACATCCGCATATTCCACTGTCAAACAATTCTTCCTAATGGGTTGTTGTATGTCTTTCGCGCTGTATGGCCATGTTCTAGAAGCATTATCTCCTGACGTTTTGCCTGCATCTATGGCAGGCATCCTCAGAGGTTGTGAGGTCTCTTGGAAACTAGGAAAATTGGGTTTATATATCTGTGGAAAGTCCAGAGTGGGAGAAAGAACTCTTGTCTGTTGAAGCTAGGTGTGGATGTTTCAATTGGCCACCTTAATTAGCATTTGATAGCCTAAACGTTTTTATGTATGACTTGTTACTGCCTGGGGGAATCCTTTGTTGAGAGGTAGCTGTTCCTGATTGTTTCCTGTCTGGAGTTCCCCTGTGTTTAAGTTATGTTCTTTATTTACTGTTATAATTTCGAAGGTTTTTTTAATACTGGTAGCCAGATTTTGTTCATTTTCATGGTTTCCTCCTTGCTGTTGAAATTCCTAATATTAAGATGAGGTATAAAATAAAGCAAAGATGCAAACATATGCACCAAAATGACAGATTATGCTACTATTTTATTCATTTATTTACAGCATTTATATTCTGCCCTTCTCACCCCACAGGGGACTCAGGGCGGATTACAATGTACACATATATGGCAAACATTCAATGCCAATTAGTTATACAACGTATATAGACATACACAGAGGCTATTTAACTTTTTCTGGCCGCCAGGGGAGCTGTCGCTTTCATTGTCCATCTGCAACACTAATCAAGTACTTCCACATTCCCCGCATGCTTTGCTGGAGTGCTTTTTGCTGGAGTCTTTTTATGGCCTCATAAATTAGTTAATTAACCTCCCCACACATAGGTGGTACCTAATTTTCCTACTTGACAGATGCAACTGTCTTTCGGGTTGCAAAGGTCGACAACAAGCTACACAATTGGTCGGACTCCAACCCGGGCTGGCTTCAAACTCATGACCTTCTGGTCAGAGTGATCTTAATGCAGCTGACACTCAGCCAGCTGCGCCACAATCATGTGTATTCCTTCACGTTACCTGTTCTCTTGTGGAAGTCTTATGGAAGTCCTTAGGCAAGGAAGGCTCACAAGTGGAGTTTCCTTCCTCTGAAATATAGCTTATAGCATCTAGCATTTGTTGGTGGTCTCCTCCCAAGTCCTAACTAGGGCTTACCCTGCTCAAATCTGATATATAGTGTCTGTGAAATAAATTGTATGCTTTCCTGTGGTCCTCTATGTGGAAGTGGCATTCCCTTTGCACCAACAAAGTAGTCAGAACTCTCATTTTCTTTCCAGACTTCAAGAGAAATTCTCCAGGAAGAGCTCTGTCCAGAATTCACTCTTCCAACGCAACCAGGTGAGTGCTGACGGATCTCATTCACAGTGAACTTAGGGGGGATTGCCCAGCTTCACATCCATTCTGTTGAAGTGAAAATGCTGCCTGACAATGTGTTTGCCTTCTTCCCTGACTGTGTGTTTGCTTTCTCCTCGGTGCCGCAAAAAGTAAAGTAACAGCATAGAAGTCTGCTAATTTCCACAACTGTTTTAAAACAGGGTGGGCAACTTCGGCAAGTCTAGGGTCTCATTTTGCCCTCTGGGTATGGTCAGTCTCCCCACCCCAGTCTACAAAACAAAAGGAAATTATTTTGTTTGCACTTCTGCAAAATTGCAAGTGACCAGAAATTCACTGGAAAGTGGAATATGGATCCCCTAAACATCAAATAAATAAAAATAAATAAATTCATGCATGGGGCCCCCCGGTGGCTCAGTGGATTAAAGCACTGAGCTGCTGAACTTGCAGACCGAAAGGTTACAGGTTTTAATTTGGGGAGCGGCGTGAGCTCCCGCAGTTAGCCCCAGCTTCTGCCAACTTAGCAGTTCAAAAACATGTAAATGTGAGTAGATCAATAGTTACCACTTCGGCAGGAAGTTAACAACACTCCATGTAGTCATACCAGCCACATGACCTTGGAAGTGTCTACATCAATGCTGGCTCTTTGGCTTAGAAATGGAGATGAGCACTAACTTCCAGAGTCAGACATGACTGGACTTAATGTCAGGGGAAAACTTTTACCCAAATACATGCATACACCTTTAAGAGGTATCAACATTGGGATTGCAGTTGTCCAAAAATATATATTTATAAGGTCTCTAACCTTCTCTGCAAATTGGTGCCTTACTGAATTATAACTCTCAGAGTTCCATAGCACTGAGCCATGACAGCTAAAGTGGTGTCAAACAATATTATTTCTATAGTATTGATGCACTCAATGGTCCCATCTAAACTACCATATAATCCAGTTTCTGATTCCAGGTTATCTGCTTTAAACTGGATTATATGGCTGTGTAGATCTAGCCTTAGATACGAATTCCCCCTCAATTTGGAATAATTGGCCCAGTTTACCTGTCTGAATGTATCTCCCTTTACGAATCACCATGATCCTTAAGATTGGGTTGTTGTAGGTTTTTTCGGGCTATGGCAAGCATCCTCAGAGGTAGTGAGGTCTGTTGGAACTAGGAAAATGGATTTATATATCTATGGAATGACCAGGGTAGGACAAAGAACTCTTGTCTGCTGGAGCTAGGTGTGAATGTTTCAACTGACCATTTTCCTAGTTCCAACAGACCTCACTACCTCTGAGGATGCTTGCCATAGATGCAGGCAAAATGTCAGGAGAGAATGCCTCTAGAACGTGACCATATAGCCTGAAAAAACCTATAACAACCCAGTGATTCCGGCCATGAAAGCCTTCGACAATACATCGTCCTTAAGATTGTCCAGGGAGGCCCTGCTCTTGGTCCCACCACCATCGCAGTCACGTTTGGTGGGGACGAGAGACAGAACCTTCTCCATGGTGGCCCCTCGGCTCTGGAACTCCCTCCCTTATGAGATCAGATCCTCCCCCTCGCTCCTAACTTTCAGGAAGAAACTCAAACCCTGGATGTGGGATCAAGCGTTTGCAGAATAGACTGACTTGCTGGGAAAGATAATATTATTAATGGACTACAACGGACTGTTTATGATGGCGATTTGAACCAGCGATGGAATTGGGGTGCAAAAAAGTAAACCATAGATGTGTTGGCCCTTATGGCTAGGATTTTGTCTTCATGGAGAGATAAGAGAAAACGCAATTAAAAGGGAAATAATTGGGACAATCCTTTGATGCTAATGCTGACCCTTTCTCTTTTAGAAGTGAAGTAGTTCTCATTGTCTTCCCCTTTCTTTTCACAGTCCTTAATCGCTGCTTTCCTACTTTTAATATCGCCGAAGCTGGTAATTTTAATTTGAGTGGGAAGACAGTCAATGAAACCATGGAAGATATCAAGTCAGGAGCAGAGTAAGTCAATTTTCAAGCTTTTTAGGGAGATTTTGGCTTGGTTCCCCTCTCCTTAAGTTTTATCAAGTTCCCTTATCAGTTCAAAGTACCATATATATTTGCGTATAAGCCGACCCGAATATAAGCTGAGGCACCACATTTTGTCATAAAAAACTGGGAAAACGTATTGCCTTGAGTATAAGCCTAGGGTGGGAAATACAGCTGCTACTGGTAAATTTCAAAATAAAAATAGATATCAATTAAATTATATAATTTGAGGCATTAGTAGGTTAAATGTTTTTGAATATTTACATCAAACTGTAATTTAAGATAAGACTGTGTCCAACTCTGATTAAATCACTATTCTAACTTTCTTCAATGTAAATGTGCTCACGTATCCTTCCAATAATGACCGTAGTTTATTTTAATTATACATATCAGGGGAAATGCTATGTGCATACGAATAAGGAAAGGTGGGAAAGATTGGCATGGGAAAGGGTGGGAAAGAAGGGCTGGAAAYGTGAAAGGGTTGGAATGGGAAGCGATGGTTGAAAAAGTGGTAAAATGAGGTGGAAAAARGGGTAGCTGGAAAAGTAGGATGGATTGAGGGGAAGGGGGCAACTGGGGAAGGGGGAATGACTGAGGTGTGAAAGGGGGCATAAACTGGGAAAGGTTGAGAGGGGAAGCGGGGTGGAAAAGACCACAGTTTAGAGTGGGGTGGGTGGGAAAAGCTACGGTAATTGGGGTGGGAAAGAGGGGCAGTTGAAAAAGATTGGGATGGGGAAAGGAAGATTGCAAAAAGAGCAAGACTGGGGTGTAAAGGGGTGGTTGGAAAGGTGGAAAGATTGGAGTGGAAGGGGGGTAAGTGAAGATGTGGGAAATACTGAGGTGGGAAAAGGGGCTGGGGAAGTGGGAAAGACGGATGAGAARGAGGGGCTGGAAAAAGGGGAAACTGTGGTGGTAAAAGAGGTAAGACTGAAATCAGAAAGAGAGGCTGGAACCTGGGAAAGTCTGGGATGGAAAGGGAGCTGGGAAAGTGGGAAAGAAGGGCTAGCGGTAGTAAAGACTAGGGTAGGAAGAGGAAAACTAGAAAAGGAAGACTGGGGTGGGAAAGGCGTGCTGGAAAAAAGGGGGGAAATTGAGATGGGAAGGGAGGAAATGAGAAGGATTGAGGAGAGAAAGGCGCGTGGCTTCTCCTCCCCTCTCGGCACAGCGACCCAGCTGGGTTGCTGTTGTTGCATTCCAAAACAGGAATAATCCTCTGATTTTAAACATCACACGTTGAATAGGAAAACAATCCTTTTATTGAAGATAAGTAAAAAGCAGCAAAGTAAAAAAAACACTTTAAAGAAATAGGTAAATCCAATTAGGTCAGAAGATAAGCAGAAACAAATTAGTCCAAAGTAGAGTTCAGCAGGGTCCATAAAAGCAAAGTCCACACATCTCTAATTTGATCCAGAAAATCAGGAACACATTGATGCAAGGCTTGGGTATGCAATCAGTAAATCCAGGAAGCAGAACCATGAAACAAGGAGTATCTTAGCATGAATCTTCAAAGCAAGTCTTCCATGAAACAAGGACAAGAACTTAGTGTGTTTCTAAATGATGCTTCATCTGACTACACATCCCAAACTTGAGACTTTTATCCCCTTGTTAGCTAGGTCACTAGCAGTCAGAAATTGGTTTCTCTTTAGCTGAGACTTTGTTATTGTTTTCTGTCGAAGCCTGGCACAGTGCCGAAGCCATTGCTCAGCTCTCCTGTTTTGACTGATTTCTTCTCATCTATCTCTCTGCTCGTTATCTACTTGCTCGTTAATTTCTGCAGGTGCCGAGCTATTTTCATGTTCTCTCTCATGAGAACTCTCTATTAACAATTCAGAAAGCACACCATCATCCCCACACCCCTTAAGGCCATTCTCATGGGAAACTACAGGGATCTCCTAGTCATTCTCTGCATCAATATCACTGACCAAACCATTGCCATCTTGAAACTCATCCTGAACCTCATTAACATCATTCCCCACATCCAAAGCACCCTGATCCTGAAACACAATCACAGGCTGAACTCCAAGAGCTGTGCAAAGAGGTGAGGGTCCTGGTGGGAAGGCCATAAAAAAGACTCCAGCAAAGCACTCCAGAAAAAGCATGCGGGGAATGCGGAAGTACTTCATCAGTGTCGCAGATTGACGATGAAAGCAACAGCTCCCCTGGCGGCCAGAAAAGTTAAATAGCCTCTGACTGTTTGTCTATATCTGTTGTGTGTCTTTGGCATTGAATGTTTGCCATATATGTGTACATTGTAATCTGCCCTGAGTCCCCTGCAGGGTGAGAAGGGCGGAATATAAATACTATAAATAAAATAAATAGATAAATAAATAAATTAGGTCGGCTTCATCCCTCCTGTCTTTCAGGAAGAAATTGAAATCATGGTTCTGGGACCAGGCTTTTGGACAACAAGCATAAGAGCACTTTAGATGTGGAATTGGACTAGAATGGTTATATGKTTAACAAAAATACTTTTAATTGTTTTTAATTTAATGTACTACCTATTGTTTTAAATTGTTGTTACATTGTTGTATTTGTCTATATGTTGCGGCATCAAATTGTTGCTGAGTGAAAGCCGTCCTGAGGCGCCCCCCCCCCCCCCCCGGGTTGAGAAGGACAGGGTAGAAATGCTGGAAATAAATAAATGCAATGGCACTTAATGTTCCTAGTCATCAGGTCTCCTTTGCAATTCAATTCCAATTTCTGTTCTCAACAGACAGCTGATAAAGGCTCTCGATGCCAAAAATATTGGACTGAAGATCTTTGAGGATTTCACCCGCTCCTGGTACTGGATCCTGATGTGAGTACCTATATTGTGGATCTGGGAGGGGCAAACGATCCTTTAGCAAACAGAATATCAATAAGGTTAATGGTGTGTCGTACCAGTCAGCAATGTATTTACTTTGCATGCATATGATATCCCTGAATAAGCCATGGTATTTGGCTTGTGATCCAACATCCTGGTTTCTTTTGTTGCCATTGTGTGCCTTCAAGTTGTTTCTGGCTTACGACAGATCTCCTTGCCAAGATTTGTTCAGAGCAGGGTTGCTTTTGCCTTCCTCTGAGACCGAGAGAGTGTGATTTGCCCAAGGCCATCCAGTGGTTTTCAGTGGCAGAGCAGGGATTTGAACCCTAGTCTCCAGACTCACAATACAACACTTAGACCAGGGGTCCTCAAACTTTTTAAACAGAGGGCCAGGTCACAGCCTCTCAAACTGTTGGAGGGCCGGATTATAATTTGGAAAAAAAAAGGGATGAATTCCCATGCACACTGCACATATCTTATTTGTAGTGCAAAAAAAACCACTTAAAAACAATACAATAATTATAATTAAGAACAATTTTTAACAAATATAAACTTATTAGTATTTCAATGGGACGTGTGGGCCTGCTTTTGGCTGATGAGATAGGATTGTTGTTGTTGTTGTTGTTGTTGTGTGCTTTCAAGTCATTTCAAACTTAGGTTGACCCCGAGCAAGGTCCCTGACTTAGACCATTACAACTACATTGGTTCTCTAAAGTTTGCCTTTGTTATTGATTAAAAACAAGTAATGCTTCTAGTCCAAATGGGGTCTAAAGAAGAGTGGATTTTCTCAATGTAGCTCATTGCATTTTGCCCAGTTTTGCTTGTTGCTGCAATCAGGTATACGGTCAAAGAGACTAAGTGGCAGACACGGAGTTCAAAACTGTAGAATTAATGCCATTTGACACCACTTTAACTGGCATGGTTCAATGCTATGAAGTAGTGGAAGGTGTAGTTTTACAAGATCTTTAACCTTCCCTGCCAAAAATGCTTGCACCTAACCAAACTACAACTCCCAGGATTACATATCATGGAGCCACGGCAATTAAAGTGGGGTTGAACTGCATTAATTCGTCAGTGTAGATGCATGACAGTGTTAGTATCAATTCCATGTGTATCCTTCTCTTCCACTAATGGGCTCTCAGGCTATTTATTGATTGTGCTTGCCCCGTATTTTAACCACTGTGAAATTGTAGTTTAGTTTGAGAAGTAATGCCAGGCTCAGAATCATAGAATCAAAGCATTACAAGCATCTACCCAGCTTGTAACTCTATCGAAAAAAGAGATCATTATGGCTGAGTGGGGATTCGAATCTGCAGCACACTAGTCTATATAAGACTAATTTGCATCAGAGCATCAGCCACACATGGGCACATTTGCACTGCAGCATAAGCCACACACAAAACAATTCGTCCCTGTGCCCTAAAGACTGTACCTGTCCCCTGAGTCTGCCACAATAGTTCCGTTTTAATCCATATTCTCCCCCAAATGGCAACTAGGAGTGATATTGTATCAAGTATAATTGCCATTCTGGATAAAAATTGGATAAAAATAGAGGTAAAATAGGGTTTGCTATCATCCGCAGTTTCCTTGGTAAGCTCAAAATATATCACATGCAGATGCTGAGGTCATACTGCATTTAAACCAGTGAGCTGCTGAACTTACTGACTGAAAAGTTGGCAGTTTGAATCCGGGGAGCGGGATAAGCTCCCATTGTTAGCCTCAGCTTCTGCCAACCTAGCAGTTTGAAAACATGCAAATGAAAATAGATCAATAGGTACCACTTCTGCAGGAAGGTAACAGTGCTCCATGCAGTCATGACGTCTACATGACCATGGAGGTGTCTATGGGCAACGCCAGCTCTTTGGCACCAACCCCCAGAGTTGGACACGACTAAACTTAATGTCAGAGGAAATCTTTACCTTTTTACTCTATAGTATTCCTGCAATTTTATACCACTTTGCCATGGTTCAATGCTATGGCATAGAAGGCTAAAGATCCTGTAAAACTACAAATCCCAGACTTACAGAGCATTGAGCCATGGCAGTTTGAGTGCAGTATTCTCCCCTATAAACCATCAAGGGCATTAAGATCTTCTGGAGAGGCCCTGCTCTCCGTCCTGCCACTTTCGCAGTCGCACTTGGTGGGAACGAGAGACAGGGCCTTCTCTGTGGTGGCTCCCTGGCTATGGAACTCTCTCCCAAATGAGGTTAGGTCTGCCCCCTCCCTCCTGACTTTCAGAAGCAAGTGAAATCCTGGCTTTGGAAAGAGACATTCGCAGAGTGACGGCTGAGACCAGTAAAGACTAAGAGTCATTAGGCCACAATGTACAGACTGAGTTGGATGATGTTTTTAACTTGGTGAATGGTTTTATATAGAATCATCGAATCAAAAAGTTGGAAGAGACCTCATGGGCCATCCAGTCCAACCCCCTGCCAAGAAGCAGGAATATTGCATTCAAATCACCCCTGACAGATGGCCATCCAGCCTCTGTTTAAAAGCTTCCAAAGAAGGAGCCTCCACCACACTCCGGGGCAGAGAGTTCTACTGCTGAACAGCTCTCATAGTCAGGAAGTTCTTCCTCATGTTCAGATGGAATCTCCTCTCTTGTAGTTTGAAGCCATTGTTTTGTGTCCTAGTCTCCAGGGAAGCAGAAAACAAGCTTGCTCCCTCCTCCCTGTGGCTTCCTCTCACATATTTATACATGGCTATCATATCTCCTCTCAGCCTTCTCTTCTTCAGGCTAAACATGCCCAGCTCCTTAAGTCGCTCCTCATAGGGCTTGTTCTCCAGATCCTTGATCATTTTAGTTGCCCTCCTCTGGACACATTCCAGTATTTTAACTTATTATTAAAATACACATTTATGTATTTTAACGTATTATGTATTTTAACCTATTGTATTATGAATGTGTTTTAAAATGTTATTTATTGTATAGCATTGCATTTTTGCTGTTAGCCATTCTGAGTCCCTCCACGGAGGTAGAGAAGAACGGGATACAAAAGTTCCAAATAAATAAATAAATATTAAATTTGCAAGGTAGGTGCACCCCTAAATTTGGATGGGTGTGTATTTTCAGCAAAGTGTAGATCATAGAATAATAGAATAATAGAGTTGGAAGAGACCACATAGGCCATCTTGTCCAACCCCCTACTATGCAGGAAAAGCACAATTAAAGTACCCCTGACAGAAGGCCCTCCAGCCTCTATTTAAAAACTTCCAAAGAAGGAGCTTCCACCACACTCTGAGGCAGAGAGTTTCACTGCTGAACAGTTCTTACAGTCAGGAAGTTCTTCCTCATGTTCAGATGGAATTTCTTTTCCTGTCATTTGAACCCATTGTTCCGAGTCTTAGTTTCCAGGTGAGCAGAAAACAAGCCTGCTCCCTTTTCCTTATGATGTGGAGAAGAAGATCACCGTGCACTCTGAATTTATTTTAGTTCTCCTTCCCTGCCTTCTTCTTCCCTTCAAGAGGCCTCCTGATCGCCATGGTCCTCAGCCTCCTCTTCCTTGTGCTGCTCAGATTCACTGCCGGGGCTCTGGTGTGGATCCTGATTATTGGGGTGCTGGCTGTCGTTGCGTATGGTGAGTAAAGTGATTTATTTATCATGTCAGGAGCAACCAAACAGTTGTATTACATTTTTAACCAAACAGACAGATAGACAAAACACAAAGTTTGCAAGCTTGGTAGTTGATTAAATGTCCTTTGACCAGTATCTGGCCACTTGGAGTGCCTCTGGTGTTGCCGCAAGAAGGTCCTCCACTGTGCATGTAGCAGAGCTCAGGTTGCATTGCAGCAGGTGGTCAGTGGTTTGCTCTTCTCCACACTCGCATGTCGTGGATTCCACTTTGTAAAGTGATAACCAAGGGTTGAACTAGAGAACCAGGGGCTACAGCGCCTTGGAGAGCACTCATAGTTCCTTGTTATAGTTGAACTGGCCCAGTAAGATTAGGATGGGGACACTGGTGTGAAATATACTAGACCCCCCCCCCCCCCCCCCCCCCCCCCCCCCCCCCCCCCCCCCCCCGCCGCCACCGCCCCATCACCACCTTTGTAAGAATTTGGAGACACAGAATTTCCATAACAGCGGTAAAGCCATAAATAAAACACACTTTTTAATATATAATTTGACAGAACATCTCTATTACCCCCATCTGCACTGCCATATAACCCAGTTTCTGCATCCTTTGAATTGGATTATACGGCAGTGTAGCCTCATATAATCCAGTTCAAAGCAGATAATCTGGGAGCTTTGCTTCCAGCTTTGCTTCCTGCTCAAGGCTGGAATTGGAAAAAGAAGGACTGCCACCATTGCAGTTTTCATACCCAGGTATTTGAAAAGTCCAAAAGTCCAAAAGCAGTGCCACAGCAGAGAGAGTAAGTGTCAGTACTTCTTTTAGGCTCTCCTGGAATGGACTAAACTCTTGTCTTCTATCACTCTTCTCATAGAAGGAGATTGTTTCTTTTTAAAATAAAAGTTAAGATACATTACTCGCATTGCATAAATGGACCTAGGGTTTTGGGATGGATTTATTTGACTAAAATGGGTCTATACCCTGTCACTGCTCTCCATTGTAAGGCATCCTTCACTCTTCGATGCTAAGTGCTATTACATTTCCAACAATCTCTGCCGTTTTCCTTTCAGGAATTTTTCACTGTTATATGGAATACAGCAGCCTCAGCAAGAATGGCACCACATTCCAGTCCATTGGATTCACCACCAATTTGAGCGCCTATGGCAGCGTCAAGGAAACCTGGCTTGTGGTCTGTAAGTTGGGGCAGAAAGGAGTGGTTTGGGGAGGGACAGGGAGTGTGTGCAGGGAGGCTACATCAAAAAGGTCTGCCAGTGATATATGCAGAGTAGCGGTTCTCAAAGTGTGCTCCGTTGAGCCCTTGGGGCTCAGCAAAGTACACTGAGGGGCTCCGAGCTTCTCCACCCCCTAAGCTTTCCTTCTTCCTTCCTACTCCTTCCCACCTTCCTCACCCCAAAAAGCCTTCCCCCCCTTCCTCTTCACCCAGATCTCCCCCCCCCCCACCTTGCTTGCTTCCAAAACCCCATTTCTCTCCCATTACACAAAGGGTGCTTTGATTGTGATTTTCCTGCATGGCAGAAGGGAGTTGGACTGGATGATCCTTGAGGTTGCTCCTATTATTATTATTATTATTATTATTATTGCAAAGACTGGATGGCCATCTGTTGGAGGTGCTTTGTGCTTTTACTAAATGGCAGAAGGATGGCCCCTGGGGTTGCTCCTATTATATAATTATTATTACTGTTACTACTACTAATACTACTACTGCTGCTGCTACTACTACAAAGGCTGGATAGCCATCTGTTTTAGGTGCTTTGATTGTGCTTTTGCTAAATGGAAGAAGGGAGTTTTATCGGATGGCCCCTGGGGTTGGTCCTATTCCGACTACTACTACTACTACTACTACTTATTATTATTATTATTATTATTATTATTATTATTATTATTACAAAGGCTGGATGGCCATTGATTGCAGGGGCTTTGATTGTGCTTTTCCTGCATGGCCGGGGATTGACTCTGAAAGGAATGTGGAGACAAGAGGGTTACAGATAACCCAATGTTTACAGATCGGACGGGATAGTGCGAAACAGAGACAAATGCGCTGTTCCCAGAGACTGAAAGATAAACAAAGGGGACCCAGGTGTGAGAAAGAGTGATGTCATGGGCAAGAGGGAGTATCCTTAAAGAATTGGAGTTAATGTTCAGTGAGAAGATCAACATTGGATTTCCATGTGTCAGGTTGCCTGTCTTGGGAGCTCCGAGTAACGAGTTCTGTTATTGGATATGTGTCTTATTTTCCTGTTTAAGTTTCAGGCCTCTTGTTTGAATTATAAACCTTGTTTCAAGTTTCAAGCCTTTGGGATTATAGTCAAGTTCAAATATCAAGCCTTTAGATTTTTTTTAATGTTAGGAGCGATTTGAGAAACTGCAAGTTGCTTCTGATGTGAGAGAATTGGCCATCTTCAATGATGTTGTCCAGGGGACACCTGGATGCTTTGCTATCCTTTGGGAAGCTTCTCTCATGTCCCTGTATGGGAAGCTGGAACTGACAGATGGGAACCTGCCCTGCTCACCTGGATTTGAACTGCCAACCTTTTGGTCAGCAGTCCTGCTGACACAAGGGTTTAACCCATTGCTCCACCAGGGGCTCCTAGCCTTTAGACTATGGTCATGTTCATGCTTCCAAGTTTTTGCCTATAACTGTAGTTTAAGTGCAATAAACCTTGGATTACAGTTTCTTGCTTTTGCCTTAAGTGGAATTCCTGTTCGGAGTTGGTCATTGCTTTTTGTTAAGCATTTAGAAATCTAGCTCATGGATGTATTTTGAAACTATTTTTATATTAGATACTCTTTTTTAATAACCTTAGTATTCTTCTTCATCTGTGTGGTGTTTGGGTGAAAAGGGGATCAAGTAGGCAGCTGGCCAACAACAATAACAATAAATAGAGTGCAACCCACTTGTGCATTTCAACTTAGTTTGCCACATTTGAAGGAAACCAAGAACAAAGAGGAGCAATGGGAAGCAGAAACAGAAACTGGGACCTTTTGTAAGCAGCTTTAAAACATGGGGCAACAGAGGGATAATTGTGACTGTCTCTGCCAACACTGTCTGTTGGAGGCAATGCCATATGAACCTTCCCTTTTGTCTCCACCTCTTTTCCTTAGTGATCATCCTCTGCGTGGTGGAAGCCATCTTGCTCCTCTCCCTCTTGTTCTTGCGCAAACGCATCCTCATTGCCATTGCCCTCCTCCGGGAAGCCAGTCGGTGAGTGAGTCTCTCTGAAGCATCGCCCTCCTTGCAGGGAGTCTGAACAATTCATTACAAATGACTAGGACATGGAACAATGGCTTGAAACTACAGGAAAGGAGATTCTGCCTGAACACAGGGAAGAACTTTCTAACTATGAGAGCTGTTCAGCAGTGGAACTCTTTGCACCGGAGTGTGGTTGAGGCTCCTTCTTCGGAGGCTTTTAAACAGAAGCTGGATGGCCATCTGTCGGTGGAGCTTTGAATGCAATTTTCCTGCTTCTTGGCAGGAGGTTGGACTGGAAGGCCCACGATGTCTCTTCCAACTCTATGATTCTGTGATTCCTCTAAAATTCTATATTAAGTAAGTCTATGGCAGGTATCCTCAGAGGTTGTGAGATGTGTTGGAAACTTAGAAAATTTGATTTATATATCTGTGGAATGTACAGGGTGAGAGAATGAACTCTTGTCTGTTGGAGCTAGATGTGAATGTTTCAATTGGCCACCTTGATTAGCATTTGATGGCCTGACAGTTTTTAGGTGTGGCTTGTTACTACCTGGGGGAATCCTTTGTTGAGGGTTGATTAGCTGTCCCTGAGTGTTTCTTGTCTGGAGTTCCCCTGTGTTTGAGTGTTGTTCTTTATTTGCTGTTATAATTTTAGAGATTTTTTAAAAATACTGGTAGCCAGATTTTGTTCATTTTCATTGTTTCTTTCTGCTGAAATTGTACACATGCTTGTGGATTTCAGTGGCTTCTCTGTGTAGTCTGACATGGTGGTTATGAAAGTGGTCCAGCATTTCTGTGTTCTCAAATAAAATGCTGTGCTCAGGTTGGTTCATCAGGTGCTCTGCTATGGCTGACTTCTCTGGTTGAAGTAGCCCGCAGTGCCTTTCATGTTCCTTGATTTGCGTTTGAGCATTGCTGCATTTGGTGGTCCCTATGTAGACTTGTCCACAGCTGCATGGTATATGGTAGACTCCTACAAAGGTGTCTACCATATACCAGAGCTCCAACAGACAAGAGTTATTTCTCCCAACCTGGTCATTCCACAGATATATAAACCCAATTTTCCTAGTTTCCAACAGACCTCACAACCTCTGAGGATGCCTGCCACAGATGTAGGCGAAACATCAGGAGAGAATGCTTYTAGAACATGGCCATATAGCCCAAAAAACTTACCACAACCCATTCCCAGTAATGTTTTACTAAGATCTGCCAGGGAGGGCCTTCTTTCGCTCCCACRTCCATCACAAACACCATTGGTGGGGACAAGGGAGAGGGCCTTCTCAGTGGTGGCCCCCTGATTCTGGAACTCTGTCCCCAGGTAGATTAGATTAGCCCCCCCCCCCCATGTCCACCGTCCGGAATGACTTGAAGACTTGGATGCTCCAATGTGCCTTTGAATACTAGTTTAACTACTGATCAAGTTTGCCTAGCCCTAATCATATGTTTGAATCTCCCGCACTTTATTATTCCCAGTCCGGCCCTACAGTTTGCATTTGCACAAGCCCTTGTCCTGCCCTACTAGTCTCAAGCCTGCACAAGCCCACTTTTTTCAGCTATTGGTAGTTTGTTGTATGGTTTATGTTTTATGATGTCTTATAATTGTTTTTATTGTTTTTAATATAGCTGATGGGTATATGTTTTTAATTGTGTTATTTTGTAACCTTTGTTTATATTGGGCTTGGCCCCCATATAAGCCGCCCTGAGTCATAGAATCATAGAATCCTAGAGTTGGAAGAGACCTCGTGGGCCATCCTGTCCAATCCCCTGCCAAGAAGCAGGAAAATTGCATTCAAAGCACCCCTGACAGATGGCCATTCAGCCTCTGTTTGAAAGCCTCCACCACACTCCAGGGCAGAGAGTTCCACTGCTGAATGGCTCTCACAGTCAGGAAGTTCTTCCTAATGTTCAGATGGAATCTCCTTTCTTGTAGTTTGAAGCCATTGTTCCGCGTCCTAGTCTCCAGGAAGCAGAAAACAAGCTTGCTCCCTCCTCCCTATGACTTCCTCTCACATATTTATACATGGCTATCATATCTCCTCTCAGCCTTCTCTTCTGGCTAAACATGCCCAGCTCCTTAAGCCGCTCCTCATAGGGCTTGTTCTCCAGACCCTTGATCATTTTAGTCGCCCTCCTCTGCACACATTCCAGCTTGTCAATATCTCTCTTGAATTGTGGTGCCCAGAATTGGACACAATATTCCAGGTGCAAGTCGAGAAATGTTAGTTAAAAAATAAATCCCAAAAACCTTGGGTATTCTCTTCTGAAGGCTAAACATGACTACCTCTTTAAGCCGCTCCTCATAGGGCTTGTTCTCCAGACCCTTGATCATTTGAGTCGCCCTTCACTGGACACATTCCAGAGGAGGGGAGATGAAGGCAGGATATTATAATAAAATTATTATTATTATTATTAAACAGCTTTAATAATAATATAGTAATTATTTGATCGTTTTTGCCAGTTGCTTAAGAGTTCCAGTTAACCGAGAGTCTGCTATATTTTAAAATATTTAAAATAAAAAAATGTTTACTGTATTCTAATTTACCAGGATCAAATTTCCAGTAAGACTTCTATATCCACCGCCACGGTTACTTGAAACCGTAGATACAAATAAATGCCATTAAATTATCTGAAGTCCCATCCCAGCATTCCATAGGGTTGTGTTGGATTCTTAGAAAGGTCCCTAGGAATTTTCAAGGTTTTCCAAAACAATTCTATAGTAATTTTCAGGGGAAAGATACCAAAGAATCACCTGGAAAACATAGCAAATTCCTAGGGAGACCAGTTTCCAACTGGGTGTGTGTAAGTGAAACCATGGATATGGGTCCCACAGTTATGGAAGTCTTACTGTATTCACATATAAAAAAGTACTTTGACGTCAAGGTTTAATTTCTGGATAACTTCATGTTGGTTGGCTAATGCTAACAGCAATGTATCTGAGCGCCGCAGACTTGTAGTAGGAAATGATCGATACAGGAAGCTCTGTGGTCAGTGTTTAATGGTGTCCCCTGTTCTTCTCTCCTTCAGAGCCATTGGACACATGATGTCTACCCTCTTGTACCCGATTTTGACTTTCATCTTGCTGGTGATCTGTGTGGCCTATTGGGGAATGACTGCCCTGTATCCTTTTTTTGTTCCATGACCTCTCCTTCCCTCGTTTGAAAGAGTTCACATGAATGGGAAATGGAGGTGGCAATTGTTGAACTTTGCTGCTTCGCAGTGCAGTTCTATGCGTAGATGCCTACTCAGAAGTAAGTCCATACTGTGCTCAATGGAGCTTACTCAAAAGTGAGTGCAGATAGGATTGCAGCCTTAAACTGTGTGCTGAAAATATTATTTATTTGACATCTACCAATCCCAATGGGTGTACAGTAGAGTTTCGCTTATCCAACATAAATGGGTTGGCAGAACGTTGGATAGCCAAAAATGTTGGATGATAAGGAGGGATTAAGGAAAAGCCTATTAAACACCAAGTTGTTATGATTATGTTATGATTTTACAAATTAAGCACCAAAACATCATGTTTTACAACAAATCGATAGAAAAAGCAGTTCAATACACGGTAACGTTATGTAGTAATTACTGTATTTACAAATTTAGCACCAAAACAGACAAGGGTTCTTTCTTTCTCCCACCCTGGACTGCATTGGATAAGACAGAACATTGGATGAGTGAAGGTTGGATAAGCGAGACTCTCCTGTATTTATTTGGTTTGTAAGGATTCTGTTTTGTATAAGATGGACCCTGTTTAGGGACTGAAAATCCCATCCTGTAATGGTTTTGTGGTCACTACTCCACATTCATAGGGGTTAGGACCCACATAAAAGTGGAGAAAAACATATTTTTAAAAAGGCACATCTCCAGCATGGCTCTGTTTTGATTCTTGTTTGATTCTTGGGATCTTCCTTGACTATTTTGCAATTTATAGATACCTTGCCACTTCAGGAACTCCCCTTTACCGCGTGACTTCCTTCAACCACAGTGCTCCTGGCTGTGAAAGCATCTCTGGCAATCAGAGCTGTAATCCATTGGTAAGTGACAAGGCCAGGTCTGAATTCTGGCACCTGAAGCAAATGCCACCCCTATGCCCACATCGAAAGGAAAAGTGTTCAGAGCAACTCAATTAACAGAGAATTGTACATAGATAGAGGTATATATAAGTTTTCCCATCTTTGGCATCTTGGAGGTTGCGCTCGGTTTTGGCCACACGGAGTGCTGTCAATCCATATTCCCTGCCGAAGAGCCTTGTTCATAAACTTCTTCCTTGAGCAAATCGCTGACAATTTTATCTGGCATTTCCTTATGGGTGCCTTAAATACCTCCCCACTTTAAAGCGGTACCTATTTATCTACTCATATTTGCTTTTGAACTGCTAGATAGGCAGAAGCTGGGCTAAAGGTCAGGAGATCACCCCAACTCAGGCTTCGAACTGTCAACCTTTCAATTGACAAGATTTACTGCAGCTGGCAGTTAACCTACTGTGCTAAAGCACGGCCCTGTAACTTAACTCTTATCTTTTTAAAAAAGGAATTATCTCTTGAATGGCAATAGACAAGAGCTTAGTTCATCCCGGAATAAGAAGAAGCACCACCATCTTCTGTTCTCTCTGCTGTGATACTGCTTCTGGTCTTCTCAAATGCCTGGGTGGGAAAATGATGGTAAAGGGCAGCTCATCCCTTCAACCTATCCATGGATCATCAGAAAATCTATCACTTTGGCCCCCAAACCTTCCCTCAACGTATATATGATGTCAACTTATACACAGGACAGACTAAGCTCTTGCTTTTCACCACTCTACTCACAGAAGGGGATGGTTCCTTTTTAAATAAGAGTTAAGATACAGTGTTTACATCGACCCATGGATAAATCTACCCAAGTTTTTTGGGATTGATTTTTGACTACCATTGCTCGACTCACACCTGGAATATTGCGTCCAATTCTGGGCACCACAATTGAAGAGAGATATTGACAAGCTGGAATGTGTCCAGAGGAGGGCGACTAAAATTATCAAAGGTCTGGAGAACAAGCCCTATGAAGAGCGGCTTAAAGAGCTGGGCATGTCTAGCCTGAAGAAGAGGAGACATGATAGCTATGTATAAATATGTGAGAGGAAGACACAGGGAGGAGGGAGCAAGCTTGTTTTCTGCTTCCCTGGAGACTAGGATGCGGAGCAATGGCTTCAAACTACAAAAAAAGGAGAGTCCATCTGAACATGAGGAAGAACTTCCTGACTGTGAGAGCCATTCAGCAGTGGAACTCTCTGCCTCGGAGTGTGGTGTAAGCTCCTTCTTTGGAAGCTTTTAAACAGAGGCTGGATGGCAATCTGTCAGGGGTGATTTGAATGCAATATTCCTGCTTCTTGGCAGGGGGTTGGACTGGATGGCCCATGAGGTCTCTTCCAACTCTAGAATTCTATGATTTAATTATTCTATACATGAGTATATATGGTAGGTTGAGACTCAGAGTTGGAAGAGACCACATGGGCCATCTAGTCCAACCCCCTGCCATTCAGGATGAACACAATCAAAGCAGGTGGCTATCCAGCATCTGTTTAAAAGCTGCCAAAGAAGGAACTTCCACCACACTCTGAGGCAGAGAGTTCCATTGCTGAACAGCTCTTATGTTCAGGAAGTTCTTCCTAATGTTCAGGTGGAATCTCCTATCTTGTAATTTGAACTATGGAGAGACTATGTAAGCAGAGATTTAAGGCCAAATATTCGAGCATGAAGTCTATTTGAGTGGTTTTTATCTACCTTTCCTTCTTTCTTTTGTATTGGTTAAAAGGAGATACTTCTATGCTTGTTGTGTCCCTCCTGCAGAAATTCAATGCCTCTGAATACCACCCGTGCTCCGTGGAGTGCATCTTCTTCAAGTACAATGACCAAGGGCTGGTCCAGCAAAACCTCTTCAACCTCCAGATCTACAACATCCTGGGCTTCCTTTGGTGCATCAACTTTGTCATTGCCCTCGGACAGTGTGTGCTGGCCGGAGCCTTTGCCTCATACTACTGGGCCTTCAGGAAACCCCGAGACATCCCCGCCTGTGCTGTGTGCAGTGCCTTCATCCGGACATTAAGGTGCGCAATGTAGTAACATAGCGTTGGAAGATGCCCCAAGGGCCAAGTGGTCCAGCCTCCTGCCATGCAGCAATACACAATCAAAGCATTCCTGACAAGTAACTTGACAAGTTTGTGTTTGCTTCCAAGTAGCCTAAATTGTTGCCTTTATGTGCCTTGGGTTTCCAGGTCAAAACAATATCATGCCCTGAAACCTGGAGATGATCCCTTTTGATGTGACAAGGAGCACTCCTAAGTGATGCTATTAATCTTGATAAATTAAGCATCAACCACAATTACACAGAATACACTGATGAAATATATAAAGTCACTTAGTCTAAGTACAGGTGACTTACTTTTTGCCAACCTGCTCTTTCGACCATTCTAAATTATACCTTAAGCCATATTTTTGAAGCATAATTGGCCATGCTCTGCACAGTAGGCCATGCACGGTAGTTACATGCTCTGGTTACATCCCGTATAGACTACTGCAACACACTCTACGTGGGGTTGCCTTTGAAGATTGTTCAGAATCTTCAAATGGTCCAACGCGCAACAGCCAGGTTGCTAACAGAAACAGCACTCAGGGAGCACACAACTGTTGTGCTAGCTCCACTGGCCGCCAGTTTGCTTCCTGGCACTATTCAAAGTACTGACTTTAGCCTATAAATCCCTAAACGGTTCCGTCCCAGTTTATCTGTCTGAATGTGTCTCTCCTTATGAACCATCTAGAACTCTAAGAACTTCTGGAGAGGCCCTGCTCTCAGTCCTGCATTCTTCGCATATGCGTTTGGTGGGAATGAGAGGCAGGACCTTCTCAGTGGTGGCCCCTTGGCCGTGGAACACCCTTCCCAGGGATATAAGATCGGCCCCCTCCCTTCTGACATTCCGTAAAAAGCTTACTCTTTGAGTAAGCTTTCGCTAATGCAGCATAATCAGATAAATATGAAATTACTGAACGGCTGACAATGCAATTGGATAATGATTTTAGTAAGGAGACGGTGATGATTATGTTTTTATGGCTTTTTATGGTTTTTATATTACATGCTGTAAAGGTTTCCTCTTCGTTGTCTGATATTCTATTCAATCTAGTATGCTGCCACCATCTGTGAGGTGCTAGGCTATGCTGCCACCAATTAATAAGGGTTCCCTTTGAAATAGTACAGTGAGGCTTGAGTTACTAAAACAAGAACAAGTTTATTTGGAGTATGGAAGGGTCGTAATGGTTTCAGAGTTCTCTTCTCCCGAGGCATCAAGCTTCACGAGTTTCAATAAATCTTAATATAACTTTAGGATGTCTTTTACTTCACCAACTAGTTCTTTAGTTGTTACACTTCTAAATATGTTTCCTTATTTGACAAGATTAACTAAGGTCAGCTAATGCCCTTGTCTCCCTTCAGCTTCCTGCTGAAGTAAAGATTCCCCATGGGATTTCTTCTCCTATTAGCACACAGCTAAACCACAGACCTAAATACGTCCCCTTGACTTATTCAAATCACTTAGGCTAAAAGCTTTCCCTTAGTTTGGTTCACTACACGTTTGAACCACCTTCCCTTTGGCTCGATGACCAAAGGACTGAAGCCTCAAAATGTCTGCTTCTGGTAAGTGCAGTTAGCTCCACCCCATGGCAACCTAACTCAGAGTCCTGAGCTTGGTCCCATCCCCCTAGTTCTGCCATTTCTAAATGGTTAACCCTTTATGTACATCCATAACTGTCTTTTACCTCCTGAACACATACATATAATAATATTCAACCATCTAAGCATATATATATATACATACAATCATATTTAACTGTAGAGACACATATACATAACTACGCTTAACTTACAGTTAAAAATTAATGCTTCATCACACATGCTATATGTTTTAATTGCATTTTATAATTTTTTAATTTTTAATTGTATTTTATGAACCACCTTGAGTCGCCTCCGGGCTGAGAAAGGTGGTATACAAATGTGGTAAATAAATAAATTTTGACTGAGCTCTGCATTTCCCCCCTCTGAGTTTGGTGGTTTGTTTTCAATGTATCTGAAGACTCTACATAGCTATTCAGAGAGGAAATTGCCTATTCCTAACATTGAACATGGTAGTCTTCTTTCCTCAGATATCACATAGGATCCCTGGCATTTGGCGCCCTCATCCTCACCATTGTCCAAGTCATCCGTATGTTCCTAGAGTATATGGACCACAAATTGAAAGGCAAGTGGAAAAGACGGGACAGGAAGAAATTGCTATTATCATGGTTAACATAATCAGAGTCACAGATTAGTATGAGCGTTCTTTACACACTAGACAATGTTGAAGCTGTATCTGAACTGGCTGAACAATGGGGAAGGAAATTGAGGGTTTTTTTCTACAAAGAGCAATGGGGGTGAGCTCCCCCCCTCCTTATTTTTGCTCCTTAAACATCACAGATAAGCTACCCCTTGAACTGCAAATGCTCAAATCTCCCAAAAGTATCATCAGCGGCTTCTGGAACTTAGAATCCAGCAAGTAACTTTTCCAAGCTTTCTATTTAACCCACCTTTCCAAATGCTTGCAGTTTCTTATGGTGTATTTCTGATATAAAGGGTCCTTTAACTTACCTGTCCGAACACATCTCCCTCTATGAGCCTACAAGAGCTTTCGGATCTGCTAGGGATGACCTGCTCTCCATCCCAACCTTTCTGCAAGCCTGATGTCACTGGAGAGGGAGTTCCACAGCTGAGGTGCCACCACTGAGAAGGCCCTGTCTCTCGTCTCAACCAATAACAACAACAACACTTTATTTATATTCTGCCCTTCTTACTCAGAAGGGGATTCAGGGCAGATCACAGTACACATACACAGCAAACATTCAATGCTGTTTTGTATAGACAATACAGAGACAGAACAGAAGGAGGTGTGTTGTTGTTTTGACTCTGTCCAGCTTTTTTGGTGGTTTGAGGTTGGGCTCGAATCCAGCCACACGGGGTGCTGTCGCTCCATCCTCTATGACAAAGAGCCATCAGGACTTCCTCCTTCCTTTTGGTCGCCCAGCATTTTTTGATCTTCTTTATGGCATCATAAAACACCTCCCCCAGCTTTTAGCGGTACCTAATTTGTCTAATTATAGCTAAAGCTGTTTTCAAACTGCTTAGGTAAACAGTAAGCTGGGCTGGCAGTTGGCAGCTTACACCGACCCAGGACTTCAAACTTGTAACCTTTTGGTTGATAGATCTTATAATTGCTGGTGACTTACCAGCTGTGCTAAACCCCCGAGATGAGAGACAGGGCCTGCTCCGTGGTCCGTTGGCTGTGGGACTTCCTCCCCAGTGACATCAGGCAGGCCCCATTCCTCCTGGTTTTTAGAAAGAAACTTAAGACCTGGCTTTTTACGCAGGCGTTTGGTGAATAGGAAACTATGGAATGAGACTTCAGCAGCTTGAATAATGGACTATGGATTTTGGGTAACGATTTGGACATGAGATCATGACTCAGCATTTTATATGCGGTTTTAATCTGTTAGATAAATTGTCATGTGTTCTAATTGCTTATATGCTTAGATTGTTTATATGAAACCTCTAGGTCATTCAGTGCAACTTGGTCATAAATTGGCCTTAACCCTGAAGGATCTAGAGCAGTGGTTCTCAACCTGGGGTCCCCAGCTCTTTTTGGCCTATAACTCCCAGAAATCCCAGCCAGTTTACCAGCTGTTGGGATTTCTGGGAATTGTAGGCCAAAAACATCTGGGGACCCCAGGTTGAGAACCACTGATCTAGAGATTCCCAGGAATACCATATTAAACAAATTTGCAAAAGTTAAATCTGCAAATGTGGAACGTTGACTATAGAATGTTTTATTTAATTTTATCCACTTTTGTTGTACCAAATAGGTTTTCACTGTACTTTACTTTCATGTTGGTTTCCATACTAGGAGAAAGACAAAATGCAAAATGTATTTTGAATTGATCATATGACTGGTCAAATAAATAAAGTATTATTATTATTATTATTATTATTATTATTATTATTATTATTATTAAATAATCAAATAAGCAAATAAATGAATTGACTCTAAGACAATATCCCTCTAAAACCAGTTGCAACCTCACAGCATAGTTGTACTGGACAATTGAAGAGAGATATTGACAAGCTGGAATGTGTCCAGAGGAGGGCGACTAAAATGATCAAGGGTCTGGAGAACAAGCCCTATGAGGAGCGGCTTAAGGAGCTGGGCATGTTTAGCCTGAAGAAGAGAAGGCGGAGAGGAGATATGATAGCCATGTATAAATATGTGAGAGGAAGCCACAGGGAGGAGGGAGCAAGCTTGTTTTCTGCTTCCCTGGAGACTAGGATGCGAAACAATGGCTTCAAACTACAAGAGAGGAGATTCCATCTGAACATGAGGAAGAACTTCCTGACTGTGAGAGCTTTTCAGCAGTGGAACTCTCTGCCCAGGAGTGTGGTGGAGGCTCCCTCTTTGGAAGCTTTTAAACAGAGGCTGGATGGCCATCTGTCAGGGGTGCTTTGAATGCAATATTCCTGCTTCGTGGCAGGGGGTTGGACTGGATGGCCCATGAGGTCTCTTCCAACTCTTTGATTCTATTTTAATTAAATCTGTGAATAATCAAATCCCCAGAAGTCAGACCTGCAAATATGGAGTGCCGACTATATATTTAAGGCAGTGTTTATGAGAAAACGTAGTCTAATTCTACTCTCTCTGGTTGCAAATTGCAGACTCCAATAATCCTGTTGCCCGGTGTATCTTGTGCTGCCTGAAATGTTGCTTCTGGTGTCTGGAGAAGTTCCTCAAGTTCCTCAACAGAAATGCCTACATCATGGTGAGCTTCGCTGGTTGCTGCAGTTCAATATAAGCAGGTGTGCCTGTAGTTTAGTACGCCTCAGTATTAGTTGCCCTCAATCTGGGAGAGCCCTTAGTGTGGACTACACTCTCTGAATGTAGATGAACTACAACTCCAAAACTCAAGGTCAATGCCCACCAAACCCTTCCAGTATTTTTCTGTAGGCCATGGGAGTTCTGTGTGCCAAGTTTGGTTCAATTCCATCATTGGTGTTCAGAATGCTCTTTGATTGTAGGTGAACTATAAATCCCAGCACCTTCAACTTCCAAATAACAAAATCTATCCCCCCACAACCCCACCACTATTCAGATTTGGGCATATTGGGTATTTGTGCCTAATTTGGTGCAGCGAATGAAAATACATCATGCATATCAGATATTTAAATTATGATTCAGAATAGTAGCACAATTACAGTTATGAAGTAGCAACAAAAATAATGTTATGATTGCAGGTCACCACAACATGAGAAACTGTATTAAGGTTTTGCGGCATTTAGAGGGTGGAGAAACACTCATTTAACCAATTTCTTTTGTCTTTTAAAATTCTTCTATGTCTCAGATTGCTATTTATGGGAAGAATTTCTGCATCTCAGCCAAAAATGCCTTCAAGCTGTTGATGAGGAACGTTGTCAGGTAACCAGGGTGCAAGAGGGAGGGTGGGATGAGGCCATAGCAAGTAGATCTGAATGAGAAGATGACATTCCCAGTTCTGTCCTGGTCTTCCATCCCATCCAGGGTTGTGGTGCTGGATAAAATAACAGACCTGCTGCTCCTTTTTGGAAAGCTGCTGGTGGTTGGAGGAGTTGGCGTGCTCTCTTTCTTCTTCTTCACGGGACGCATCCCCATCCATGACTCCCGGTTCCAGTCCCCCACTTTGAACTACTACTGGCTTCCCATTCTGGTACGTATCAATAACCCTTTCCATCCTTTGTGTTTATCTGCCCATCTATCCACCCATTCTTTCATAGCTGTTCTTTTTTTCCAAGATGGTTAACAAATGCAGATTTTGTACACAGTTTTACTTGTTGCTGCCATCTTATAGTCTAGAGTTTCCCAAACTGTGTATCGTGACACATTATTCGTGTGTCAGCTGCAGTGTGTAGGTGTGTCATGCAAATATAACATGAAACCACTGAGTTTCCATATATACTCGAGTATAAGCTGCCCCAAATATAAGCTGAGACATCTAATTTTACTACAAAAAACTAGGAAAACCGTATTGACTCGAGAATAAGCCGAGGTGGGAAATGCAGCAGCTACTGGTAAATTTCAAAATAAAAATAGATACCAATAAAATTACATTAATTGAGGTATCTGTAGGTTAAATATTTTTGAATATTTACACAAAACTGTAATTTAAGATAAGACTGTCCAAATCTGATAAAACCATTATTCTAACCTTCTTCATGGAAATGTGCTTATTCCAATAATAATTAAGTAAAATAATAAATATAATAATAATAGAGCAAAATAATGGAAATGTAATAATAATAAATAAAGTAAAATTATAAAAATAATAAAAATAATAGAGTAAAATAATGTAAATGTAACAATAACCATAATAATAGAGTAAAATAATAAGTATAATAAAAAATAACAGAGTAAAGTAATTAATAACTTTGACTCGAGTATAAGCTGAGGGTGACTTTTTCATCCTAAGAAAGGGCTGAAAAACTCACCTTGTACTTGAGTACGTACGGTAAATCATATATATTTAAAAATATAAATGAAAGATTTTTGTGGGATATGTTGTGTTGCTGTACATTTTGCTATTACAACATACACGTGTGGCTGTATTTCTTGTAAATCTGAAGGTGTTTAAGGTAATTGCAAGGAGTGCTGTGTTTTTTTATTTTTGAATGTATTTAATGTTTTTTTACTGGGAATTTTAAAATTCTGTTTATATTTAATCCTGTTTTAATGTTTACGTATTGGTTTATTTTAAATTGTTTTTATAAAATTGTATACTATTGCTTTTATGTCAAGCTACTTTGAGTCTCCTTTAGAAGAGATTAAAGTGGGGTATAAATAAACATAATAATTATATTATTATCCCTCAGTTCTTGTGGGTTTTTTCGGGCTATATGGCCATGTTCTAGAGGCATTTCTCCTGACGTTTCGCCTGCATCTATGGCAAGCTTCCTCAGAGGTCTGCTGGAGCTGGGAAAAAGGGGTTTATATATCTGTGGAATGACCAGGGTGAGACAAAAGGCTTTTGTAAGTTGGGCTAGGTGTGAATCTTTCAACTGACCACCTTGATTAGCATACAATGGGCTGACAGTGCCTGGAGCAAACTCTTCTTGAAAGGTGATTAGATGTCCCTGCCTGTTTTTCTCTCTGCTGTTTTATTTTAGAATTTTTTAATACTGGTAGCCAGATTTTGTTCATTTTCATGGTTTCTTCCTTTCTGTTGAAATTGTCCACATGTTTGGATTTCAATGGCTTCTCTGTGTAGTCTGACATGGTGGTTGTGAGAGTGGTCCAGCATTTTTGTGTTCTCAAATAAAATGCTGTGTCCAGGTTGGTTCATCAGGTGCTCTGCTATGGCTGACTTCTCTGGTTGAAGTAGTCTGCAGTGCCTTTCATGTTCCTGGATTCTTGTTTGGGCGCTGGTCTGCCAAGGCTTTAATGGGCATAAAGCTCAGAGAGTGAGAGTTTCTATGGTTGGGATTCAAACAGTGTTCTCCAGAGTCCAACTCTTGGACCATTATATCACATTGTCTCTTAAAATTCTAATACAAAGGCAAAAAGTTAAACATTATGGTCTAATACCCTGAAGGCACCAGATCTTCCAAGATCAGCAGGTTCAGGTCTGGTTAATACTTGGATGGGGATAGCCAAGGAATGCCATCAATTTGAAGTGTTCTTTCATTGAAGCCTCACCCTCTCATTGTGTTCTCCTCCAGACGGTGGTGGTGGGCTCCTACCTCATAGCCCAAGGCTTCTTCAGCGTCTACAGCATGTGTGTGGACACTCTCTTCCTCTGTTTCCGTGAGTATTTTTCCTACCCTCTTTGGCTCACTTCACTGCCTTGAACTTACCTCTCCTTACGAACCATTCAGGAATTTAAGATCGCCTGGGGAGGCCCTGCTCTCGGTCCCGCCTTCCTCGCTAGTGCATCTAGCAGGGACGAGAGACCAGGGCCTTCTCAGTGGTGGCCCCTTGACTGTGGAACTCCCTTCCCAAGGATATTAGATCAGAAAAGAGTGAATACTTGGCTCTTTGAGCAAGCTTTTGGTAAAACAGCGTAATTGGATAAATACAGTATGATTAAATAATGTACACGGAATGGATTAGACCAGGTGTCCTTTTTAAACAGAGGGCCAGGTCCCAGTCCCTCAAACTGTTGGAGGGCCAGATTATAATTTGAAAAAAAAATGAATTCCTATGCACACTGCACATATCTTATTTGTAGTGCAAAAGACACATAAAAATAATGCCATAATTAAAATGAAGAACAATTTTAACAAATAGAAACTGATTAGTATTTCAATGATCAGCTCCTTCGCTAATGGTGTTTCGAAGAAAACTAAAAACTTGGCTGTTTGAACAGGCATTCGGACAAGCAGTGCAATGAATACGATGAATATAGGAACGGAATTATGGCTGACGAATTGGATCACGACTCTAGTTATGAGACGTTAATGTGTTGTTATTGATGTGCCATTACTTTGTATACTATGCTCTTAATGGTTTTAAATTGTATGTTGTTATGATTGACTTTTGCTCTTGTTGTGAACCGCGTTGAGTCGCCTACGGGCTGAAAAACTGCGGTATACAAGCAAAGTAAATAAATAAATAAATAAATAAATAAATGGAAAGTGTGGGCCTACTTTTGGCTGAAGAGATAGGATTGTTGTTGTTATGGTGTGGTTTCAAGTCGTTTCAGACTTAGGTTGACCCTGAGCGAGGGCCAGGTAAATGACCTTGGAGGGCCACACAAGTCTTAGTTTGAAGACCCCTGGATTAGGCGATGCAAACGGATAAGGAGTCAAACTAGTTAGACATTAATTTTTATAGTTTTAATTGGTTTTATATGAAATTTATTGTGTGATATTAAATATTTTTAACTGTATGTATGTATGTTCATGACATCTAATTGCTGCCAATCTGTACGCCGCTCTGAGTCGCCTTCGGGCTGAAAAGAGCAGGATAAAAATGCTGTAAATAAATAAACAAACACGGAGAAGCCTGAAGCAAATTTTTTCTCAATTCTCTCCACAGTGGAAGACTTGGAGCGGAACGACGGCTCCCTGGAGAAGCCTTACTACATGGACAAATCGCTCATGAAGATTCTCAACAAAAAGAACAAAGCAGACCAGAATAAATAATTCTGGCAAAAGTGGGCACCCATCCCTCAATTTGTTGATTCCCATGACCCTGGTCCTTATCATTTTTTGCTGTATCAAGTACAGCTTACTATGCACCTTCTTCCCTTCATTCAAAAGTCGTTTTTATAAATGGGCCTTGCACAAGAAAACTTGCGAATTTTGCACCATTTTTCTTTAACCTGCTGCTTTCCTTGTCCTGCTATTATCCAAATATAGCCAACTGGAGAAACTTGATTGCACTGGCCATGTTAATTTATATTTTTTAACAGCGGCAACCATTTTTAACACAATGCCATATAGTTTTTGGAAGTGTTCTTTGGCTAGCTGTGGTGGCATTCCTTATATAGATGATTGGCCGATGCTGTTATAGGATTGCTGTGAGTTTTCTGGGCTGTGTGGACCAGGAGATTCCATCTGAACATTATGAAGAACTTCCTGACTGTGGGAGCTGTTCAGCAGTGGAACTCTCTGCCCCGGAGTGTGGTGGAGGCTCCTTCTTTGGAGGCTTTTAAACAGAGGCTGGATGGCCATCTGTCAGGGGTGCTTTGAATGCAATATTTCTGCTTGTTGGCAGGGAGTTGTACTGGATTATCCATGAGGTCTCTTCCAACTCTATGATTCTATGTTCCAGAAGCAATGCTTCGGGAACATGGCCATACAGCCCAGAAAACTCATGGGAACTCAATGATTCCAGCCATGAAAGCCTTCGATAACACATTGATGCTGTTATACTCCTTCCAGGTAGCCTCTTTCAGACTATTGCTTGGTTGACTATCTTGTCTTCCAAACACTTCCTCTCCCCACAATTGTGTTCTTGATCACCACATGGTTGCCTACTTTTCTCTTGTTCTCTGTGCAATGCCTTAATCAGCACCCATACTTTTCTGCTCTTTCTCTCTGCATTGTAGAATGAATGTTGTTTCCCAGTTGCCTATGTCTACCCTTATTACGTATATTTTATTTTAAAAAAATGTTTTTATTTATTATTTTAGCCAATTTTTCCTATGCTACTATTAATTAACTGTCCTCTATCAGGTTCAATGATGCCGCTCCCTATTCAGATAGCCAGGCTCCCTTTCAAATTATTTTGTCTACTGATCTGTTCTTTTTGTGGTATTTGCCAGATTTCGAATGGTTATGCTTTGTAATGTAGTGAAATAATTGGGGTTTCGGCCAACCCAATTCTCTCCTGTCTTATTTCCTAAGTGCCTTCATTGAAAAATGACGTTTACTTTTTCTCATAATATATAATAGGGTCACGATGACAAGTCTGCCAAAGCTCAGGCCCACTAGGAAAGGCAGACTTTTAAAATCCATACATTTCAAACCCAGTTCTCTAATAAACAGCTCCCATTTTTACACTGTTTCTATGGCTCTGGAAGCCCTCTTTTAAGTCCTTTTTAGGACATTCTTAAATCTGTTTTTATATTGCCACGTGAGCTGCTAAAATGTACTGTATATAGATTTTTTTTTCTTTCTGTACAGAATTTTTCAAAAAATTATAGGAACCATACAGATTAAAACTGATTCTAAACTGAGTTTTGCGCCTCTTCCTCATTTTCTGGTGTGGGATGATAGCTAGATGTGTCTCTTACAGCAGAAACAAATAGAAGATTGAATTCTATTGGTTAATCTCAACTAAACAATTGGATTACTGCAACGCACTCTACGTGGGGTTGCCTTTGAAGACTGCTCGGAAACTTCAACTGGTCCAGCGGGAGGCAGCCAGCTTACCGGAGCGACATACAGGGAGCACACCACCCCCCTGTTGTGTCAGCTCCACTGGCTGCCGATCCAATTCCGAGCACAATTCAAAGTGCTGGTTTTGACCTACAAAACCCTATACGGTTCCGGCCCAGTGTATCTGTCTGAACGGATCTCCCTCTACGTCCCACCTCGGAACCTAAGATCCTCTGGGGAGGCCCTGCTCTCGACCCCGCCTCTATCACAAGTGAGATTGGCGGGGACGAGGAGCAGGGCCTTCTCGGTGGTGGCCCCCCGCCTGTGGAATTCACTCCCTGGGGAGATTAGATCGGCAACGTCCCTTCTTTCATTTAGGAAAAAGTTGAAAACCTGGATATGGGACCAGGCATTTTGGACATTCTGGAATCATGTGATTTGTAATTTGTTTATTTGTTTATTTATTGTGTCAGAAGCGGGTTGAGGGTACAGTTAAAATGTATGAAAAACCACAAAGTTAAAAATTGGCATTATGCTACATTTCCTTGAACCAGTAGCTGGCCACTTGGAATGCCTCTGGTGTTGTGCGTGTGACAGGGCTCAGACCGTATCGTAGTAAGTGGTCTGTGGTTCACTCTTCTCCTTACTTACTTAGGTGATCCCTCATTGTCCGAGTAGGATTGTCTTCCAAGATCGGTGTTCTGGCGGTGGGTATATGTAGGTGACTGTGGAGCCCTATTCTTGACCTGCATGTTCTCCCGCAGTGAGGGCATTGGTTTCGAGGTGGAAGGCGGTCCCAGTCAGGGTTGGCTTGATACGCTTTCCTCTTAGCACATTTCTCTCTTTTGCCTTCCATTCATGCCACTTCAAATTCTACAGCACTGCTGGTCACAGCTGACCTCCAGCTAGAGCACTCAAGGGCCAGGGCTTCCCAGTTCTCAGTGTCTATGCCAGAGTTTTTAAGGTTGGCTTTGAGCCCATCTTTAAATCTCTTTTCCTGCCCACCAACATTCCCTTTTCCATTCTTGAGTTCGGAATACAGCAACTGCTTTGGGAGATGGTGGCCGGGCATCTGGACAATGTGGCCGGTCCAGAATCAACTGGCACCTAGTCTAGAGTTTATTTTTTGAAGCTTTCTCCAAGAGAGCTTACTCTTCTCTCCTCCTTCCTTCCCCTGAGGCTTTTGCAGTTCACAGAACCTGGAATGGAACCCTTTGGAGGAAGGAGGAAAAGTCTGAGGCTCAAGAGACCTCAATTTCAGGTTTTTAAAACTGCCTTAAGCCTTCTGAGGAAGGAGAGAAAAGCAGAGCTTTAGGGAACTCAGTTTATAGGCCTTGTCTTTGAAGAAAGAAAGGAAGGAAGAAAGGGAGAGCCTCAAATGGGGGTGCAACTATTATGTGAGGAAACAAAAACACCTTATTTTTGGCACACCAAAAAATTGACAGCAACTATGATGCAGTGATGAAATTGGAGTTCAAAATGGGCAATGGCGCATTTTGGTTTCAGATTCTGGAATTTTAGATGTCCCCATCCACCCACCACCACAAAAAAGCCCACTTTTGATGTGTCATTTGTAAGATGCACACAAATATTCCAGTACCACCAACAGGGGAAAAAACTGTGTGATTCTATTGATGCACCCCATTTTTAGAGATGTTTATATGGGGGAAAGTGTGTTTTAGAATTAAAGAAATACAGTATGTATGTGTCCTTTAAGTCAACTTACAGTGACCCAATAAATTTCATAGGGGTTTCTCAAGCAAGGGGGTTCTGCCGGTTCCTTTCTCTGAACGTCCCCATTCTCTGAACTCTCCCTGTGTCCCTTGTGAACCTCCCCTTGAATGGTTCACAGACCAAGTCACCACCAAAAATAAGAGACTCCAAATTCAAGCAGTTTTAAACTTGTTATTCCATGTAGGCAGTGTGCTTCCAAGACATAGTTTGTACCCTGAGAGAGCTTATCTCCAGCATCCTCTCAACATTCACTCCCCCATAAATTGAAGAAGAGAAGTCGACTCCACCAGATTCCCCTTCTGAAATAAATGACAGTGTCTTCCTTTCTTCCTGTGCAGTGTTTTGGCTAATCAGTGTCTATCCAATCTTGATTCCCTGGACATCTTACGGTCAGATGCAAGTGGGTTTAGGTGGAAGGCAGAAGAGACAGGCCTGGAATGAAAAGAAACAATACAGTCAAGTTGTTTGCAAGTTTCGTTAAGGTTCCTATGGAATTGTTCTGCTCCTCGAAGAACACAGTCTTGCAAACGTGAATTTACGTGTTACTAACTTGTTCATTCATACAGTCGCTTCTGAGTCTTTGTAACCTCATGGACCAGCCCACGCCAGAACTCCCTGTCAACTGTCACCACCTCCAGCTCCTTCAAGGTGTTCAACATCTTTATTAATGACTTAGATGAAAGGCTAGAAGGCATGATCATCAAGTTTGCAGACGACACCAAATTGGGAGGGAGAGCCAATACTCCAGAGGACAGGAGCAGAATTCAAAACGATCTTGACAGATTAGAGAGATGGGCCAAAACTAACAAAATGAAGTTCAACAGTGACAAATGCAAGATACTCCACTTTGGCAGGAAAAACAAAATGCAAAGACACAAATGGGGGATGCCTGGCTCGAGAGCAGTACGTGTGAAAAAGATCTTGGAGTCCTCGTGGACAACAAGTTAAACATGAGCCAACAATGTGATGTGGCGGCAAAAAAAGCCAATGGGATTTTGGCCTGCATCAATAGGAGCATAGTGTCTAGATCTAGGGAAGTAATGCTACCCCTCTATTTCGCTTTGGTTAGACCACACCTGGAATATTGTGTCCAATTCTGGGCACCACAATTCAAGAGAGATATTGACAAGCTGGAATGTGTCCAGAGGAGGGCAACTAAAATGATCAAGGGTCTGGAGAACAAGCCCTATGAGGAGCGGCTTAAGGAGCTGGGCATGTTTAGCCTGAAGAAGAGAAGGCTGAGAGGAGATATGATAGCCATGTATAAATATGTGAGAGGAAGCCACAGGGAGGAGGGAGCAAGCTTGTTTTCTGCTTCCTTGGAGACTAGGACGCGGAACAATGGCTTCAAACTACAAGAGAGGAGATTCCATCTGAACATTAGGAAGAACTTCCTGACTGTGAGAGCCGTTTAGCAGTGGAACTCTCTGCCCCGGAGTGTGGTGGAGGCTCCTTCTTTGGAAGCTTTTAAACAGAGGCTGGATGGCCATCTGTCAGGGGTGATTTGAATGCAACATTCCTGCTTCTTGGCAGGGGGTTGGACTGGATGGCCCATGAGGTCTCTTCCAACTCTTTGATTCTATGATTCTAAGGTCAATCCAGTCACTTCAGGGATGCCATCTATCCATCTTGCCCTTGGTTGGCCCCTCAAGGGAAAACCTTTACCTTCACTCATTCTTAAAATCTCCACTTCTTCCCATTGCTTACCTTGTCTCCCTGGAACCTGCTTCAGCCCTCTCAACCAGCGCTCTTGCCATCGCCATAGGATCCGGTCCTTTTCCTCTCCCTCCCGCAGAAGCGTCTGCCAGAAAGGAAACAGAACTCCTCAGAAGCAGCTCTCAAACCCTAAAGCTAAATCTAATGCAGTGTTTCTCAACCTGGGGGTCGGGACCCCCAGAGGGGTCATGAGTGGGTGTCAGAGGGGTCGCCAAAGCCCATAAGAAACAATAATAATAATAATAATAATAATAATAATAATAATAATAATACTTTATTTATACCCCGCCACCATCTCCCCAAGGGGACTCGGGGCGGCTTACATGAGGCCATGCCTTTCAATAAAGTAACACAATGTAACACAAGAACACAATAGAAAATAAGAAAATAAGAAAATAAATAACATAAGATACAAAACCAATATAAATAAACAGCGCAACAATATAAAATCAGAACATAGTATTTTCTGTTGGTCGTGGGGGTTCTGTGTGGGAAGTTTGGCTCACTTCTATCATTGGTGGGGTTCAGAATGCTCTTTGATTGTAGTTGAACTACAAATCCAAGTAACTACAACTCCCAAATGTCAAGGCCTATTTTCCCCAAACTCCATCAGTGTTCACGTTTGGGCATAGTGAGTATCTATGTCAAGTTTGGCCCAGATCCATCATTGAGTCCACAGTGTTTTCTGGATGTAGGTGAACTACAACTTCAAAACTTAAGGTCAATGTCCACAAAACCCTTCCAGTATTTTCTCTTGGTTATGAGAGTTTTGTGTGCCAAGTTTGATCCTATTCCATCATTGGTGGAGTTCAGAATGCTCTTTGCTTATAGGTGAACTATAAATCCCAGCAACTACAACTCCCAAATGATAAAATCAATCCCCTTACAACCCCACCAGTATCCACATTTCGGCACACTGGGTATTTGTTCCAAATTTGGTCCAGTGAATGAAAAAACATCCTGCATATCAGATATTTACATTACGATTCATAACAGCAGCAACACTACAATCATGAAGTAGCAATGAAAATATGGTTGAGGGTCACCACAACATGAGGAACTGTATTAAGGAGTCGCGGCATTAGGATGACTGAGAAACACTGATCTAACCTAATGAAAGAGGCCAAGTCAGTCTCTGAAAAAGTGCCATTCATATTATAGACACTAGATGGAGGAGATGTGCTGAGTGTGGAAAACACCCCTTGCTAAATGCTCCAATACAGCATGCAAACCACTGTCAAGAGAGGGAGAAAATTTAACAGCAAGCTCTAAGCAATAAGCTAACTGCTGCCTTAATTTGTTTATTTTATCCCTGCCGCTGAAGCTGGAGAGTTTTCAACTAATAGTAAACGGAAATGACACTATGTAACACCATTTTTGTTCCTGGGTTTTGAATGTAATTTCCCAAATGGGTTCTATCATAAAAACATGGGAAAAGTTTATTAAACTGCAAAAACATGCATTTTGCGGGACATCCTGCAGTACATTTTGCTATAGTTTTTCAGTGAATATCTCATTGAACTACTTCATCACACTAGAGAATGAATCCTCTTTAAATCCGTTTGCTGCCTCCAGCACAATTCTGGGGTTTGAAATTTAGGGAGGAGCCTTTAGCAGCCTCACAAAACGACAAATCCCAGAATTCTGCAGGAGGCAGAAACCGTATACCCCTGACATTAAGTCTAGTCGTGTCCAACTCTGGGGGGTGGTACTCATCTCCATTGCTGAGCTGAAGAGCCAGCGTTGTCCGTAGACACCTCCAAGGTCATGTGGCTAGCATGAATGTATGGAATGCCGTTACCTTCCCACCGAAGTGGTACTTATTGATCTACTCAACATTTGCATGTTTTCAAACTGCTAGGTTGGCAGAAGCTGGGGCTAACAGCAGGAGCTCACCCCGCTACCCCAGATTCAAACCACCGACCTTTCAGTCAGGAAGTTCAGCAGCTCAGCAGTTTATCCTGCTGCGCCATCCAGGGCTCCTTCAAGGTAAGTACCACACAAATAGGAAATAACACTTTCAAACCAGGAACAGATTTTTTTTCCAAATTTTGTTACGTAGTGTTATTATTATTAGCTACTAACAGGGTATAGCACAGCAGCACACTGGGTACAGTGCCTAAGCACGTTGTCCTGTACTTAAACACAATCAGCACTGACAAAATTGCTATCTGCCATCTGCAGAAGGTCATCTTATTGGGATCTGCTCGTATTATCCGCCGATACATCACACAGTCCTAGACACTTGGGAAGTGTTCGACATGTGATCCAATACAAGAGCCAGCAGAGTAATCTTGTCTGCTGTGGACTCATCTTGTTGTGTTTCAAATAATAATGATGATAATGATCATAATAATAATAACAATAATATAATATATATTTCTAATATATTTCTAAACCACCCTCTCTCCCCATGGTGACTCAGGGCTGTTTACATACATATAAGAGGCAAACATTCAAGGTCATCGTTAAACTTACACAACATTAAAGGCAAAGTAGACAGTAGAAAACTTATTACCAAGAATTACAATTGAAGTAATAAAAATAAAGAAAGCACAATGCATCATAAAAATACATATAGTAAAAAAAGGACAAATATTCTACAAGTGGAAGGTAACGATTGCACAAGAAATTTTGGTGGAAATGGCTTCACTGATGGGTTTTCCTCATCAATGAAAAGACACAATACAGTTACGATTCAAGCACAGTGTGACTATGGGAAAGACATAGAATCATAATTGGAAGAGACCACATGGGCCATCCTGTCCAACCACATTCTGCCATGCAAGAAAAGCACAATCAAAGCACCCAGCAGATGGACATACATCTTCTGTTGAGAAGCTTCCAAAGAAGGAGCTTCCACCAGACTCCAAAGAAGGAGTTCCACTGTTGAACAGCTCTTACCATCAGGAAGTTCTTAATGTTCAGGTGGAATCATGCAATAAACCTCCTAGTTTCTTTTGTATTACCAGCCTCCTGTTGTCTTCAAGGCCCCTTTGTATCCTGCCTTCCAGTTCTTTCCCCCAGTTTTTCTCCCTACTTTTCCCCTTTTGGCTCACCCCAAGTGCACGATCCTTCACATCTCCCATCTGCCGAAGTAAAGCCAGCTGGCTGCGATGCTCCTCCAGTGTTGTAGCCTCCTGGGCCAGTTTCTCTTCTGCTTCTGCCAAGCGCCGGCGTAGCTTCTCAGTTTCTTGGGCCCGTTCTTGGGCATCCTGGCCAAACTGACGAAGTTGAGCCTGTATGTAGAGAAATAAGTTTTTAATTTATGTTCCTACCATTAAAATGGATATCGTTTTTACTTTATTTTTTACTTTATTTTTATTCAAATGGCTGAGCTGCTAAACTTGCTAACTGAAAGGTCAGCAGTCCAAATCCGGGGAGCAGGGTGAGTTCCAGCTGTGCCACCACCCAATCTACATTTGCACCCATTAGATACCATAAATACCTGAAGTTCTTGCTCCCGAGCAGCTGCTGCCTTTTCTGTTTCCTGTAGGCGTCTTTGCCACTGGGCTTGGATCTGTTCCTGTTCAGCTAAGGACTGGGTCAGGAGGTTTTCCTTTTCGTGGATTTGCTGGAGCAGCCCTGGGGCAAAGTGTGGGCTGTTGAAGGAGTTTGCCAGGGCCTTGGAGACACACACAAAGACACACATGAACACACATGGTGAAGAATGGAAGTAAGACGGATGGGGGAAGAAGCACATAACAGAGGTTGCTCTATCTCCCTTTTGGGGAGATAAAGCGAGGTATAAATAAATATAAATCAATAATAACCACTCTTTGACAATGAGAACCGAAATCTATCCCATTATCAGCAGTCCCCGAGTTACAGACAAGATATGTTCTGTAAGTTTGTTCTTAAGTTGAATTTGTATATAAATCGGAACAGCTCCATTTTTAAGTGTAACTCCAGCCAAAAATATATTTTATTTAGTTTGGGTAGCATAGGGAAGGGTTAACACCCTTGCGGTGTTTGTTTTGCTATCTGTGCCCCTGTTCAGATAGCATAACAAACTTCACTTTCTGTCCCTGTGAGAATTCGATTTTGAAAAATTTTGGATTGTGGAAACAAGGATTAGTGATAAAACTTCAGTTAAGACACCTTTTCCCCATGATAACTCTTCCAGGAGCGAATTTCCCTTCCTAGAGGTTGATTTCCCTCGCTTACTTTTGTCTCAAACCCATTTGTAACTATGGGTCATTTGTAAATCAGATGTTTGTAACTTGGGGGCTGTCTGTCGTTTCAGAGTTTTCTTAGGCAAGGAAGATACAGAAATAATTTTGCCAGTTCCTTCCTTTGAAAAGTAGCCCAGAGCACTTCCCATTGGTTGGTGATCTCCCATTCAAGTACTAACCAGGGCTGACCCTGCTTAGCTTCCAAGATCATAGAATCATAGAGTTGGAGGAGACCACAAGGGACAACCAAAGCACTCCCGACAGATGGCTATCCAACTTCAGTTTTAAAAACCTCCAGAGACAGAAACCCACTTTACTTTGCGGTAGCATATTTCACTGCCAAACAGTTCTTGACAGAAGGAAGTTCTTCCTAATGTTTAGGTGGAATCTCTTTTCCTGTCGTTTGAATCCATTGTTCCACATCCAAGTCTCCAGGGCAGCAGAAAGCAGGCTTGTCCCTTCCTCAAGGTGACATTGTTTCAAATATTGAAACATGTCTATCATGCCCCCTCTTCTCAGAAGGACTATTACTTCCCTTGATCTGCAATCTAGAAGATATGCTTAATGGAAGGAGATGAATAATGCCAAGATCCCAGTTATCCACAAGAAGGATGAGCACTAACATTCATTCATTCACCTGGTTTCTAAGCTTCCCCCTACAAACACATCACAATTGGGTCCTTTTTCAAGCTAAACATACCCAGCTTCCTGAACCGCTCCTCCTGAGGTTTCGAGACCTTTTACCATTTTGGCCACTCTCCTCCGAACATGTTCCAGTTTGTCAATACTGGAAACAGTGTTCCAAGTGAAGCCTGACCAAAGCAGAATAGGGTGGGACTGTGACTTTCTTCAATCTCGACCCTAAACTCTTATTGATGCAGCGTAGAAGTGCATTGGCTTTTTCAGCTGCTGCATCACACTGTTTAATATTTACGCAAATCATCAGCCACTTCCAGAAGGGACAGAAAGTTTCATCTATGCTGACGATCGTGCTATCACCACTCAAGCAGGGAGCTTTGAAATGGTTGAACAGAAGCTCTCCAAAGCTTTAGGTGATCTTACTGCCTATTACATGGAAAACCAGATGATTCCTAATCCACCTAAAACACAGACATGTGCTTTTCACCTTTTGAACAGACAAGCATCTCTAGCTCTGAGGATGACCTGGGAAGGAATCCCACTGGACCATTGCAGCACACCCAAATACCTGGGAGTTACCCTGGACCGTACTCTGACCTACAAGAAGCACTGCCTGAACGTCAAGCAAAAAGTGGGCGCTAGAAATAATATCATACAAAAGCTGACTGGCACAACCTAAGTATCACAACCAGACATCTGCCCTTGTGCTTTGCTACTCTGCTGCTGATTACACATGCTCAGTGTGGAATATATCTCATCATGTTAAACCAGTGGGTGTGGCTCTTAATGAGTCATGCTGCATTATCACAGGATGTCTGTGCCCCACACCACTGGAGAAATATATCTGTTATGTATCTTTGGCATTGCATGTTTGCCATATATGTGTACATTGTAATCCGCCCTGAGTCCCCTGCGGGGTGAGAAGGGCGGAATATAAATACTGTCAATAAATAAATAAATAAATAAATAAATAAATAAATAAATAAATAAATATGCTGTTTAGTCGGTATTGCACCACCTGACATCCGTTGGGAAGTAGCAGCCAATAATGAAAGGACCAAGGCAGTGACATCTCCGGCCCATCCCCTGTTCAGATATCAGCCAGCACGCCAACACCTTAAATCAAGAAACAGCTTTCTAAAATCTACAGAGATACGCGCAGGTAGACCTCAGCAAGCGAGAGTCCAAAAGTGGCAGGCTAAAAGCTGGAACCTCAATCCATGGCTGATACTGAATAAGAGACTCCCTCCTGGGCCCACAGAAAACTTGGAAGGTGCTGAACAGACTGCGCTCTGCTAGCACAAAGTGCAGAGCCAACCTTAAGAATTGGGGCTACAAAGTGGAGTCCACGACATGTGAGTGCAGAGAAGAGCAAACCACAAACCACCTATTACAATGCAGTCTGAGCCCTGCCACATGTGCAGTGGAGGACCTTCTTATAGCAACACCAGAGGCACTCCAAGCAGCCAGCGTCTGGTCAAAGGACATTGAGTATAATGCCCAGTTTTTATTTTTGTTTGTGGTTTTAAACACGTTACAACTGTACCCTCAATTTGCTTATGACACGATAAATAAAAACCACATAAGCAGATTGTGGTCTGCTAAGACTCCTAGATTCCATTCACAAGTCCTGTTTCCTGGTGCCTTTGGGTGTCTCACGATTTTTCTCCATGCATTTTCAAATGATGACCACCTACTTCCACATCCTTGTTGCTGCTGCTCAGGGCCTCCTGGAGGGCTTTGACCAAGGTCTCCTTCTCCTTCAAAGTCAAGAGCCAGGTCTGGTCGTGCTGTTGCCAGGAGTCCCGGGCGGAGGCGCCCAGCGATTCCAACCGCTGGATCTCCCGATCCTTTTGGTGCAGCACCTCACGCAACGCCTGCAGAAAAAGAAAAGAACAATTACAGGAGCTAAAATAGTGCCAGGCTGTCGGGTCGGTGGAGCGATCTTTTGTCCTATGGCTTCTGGGCCTTTGTCTCCCAGCAACCACAAAACCCAGACTGCTAACCAAGCAGAGATTTCGTATCCAGGACTGTCTTTCCCACCATGGAAAAATCCAGGCTAGTTTTGCAAGAACAATGGAGCTTTTTAAAAAGGCAGAGAAGAGCACATGATGTTATTGACATACCGGGAAAGAGAGAAATGCAGAAGGGAAACAAGATGAAATGAGACCACTAGGAAGGCCTGCAAGTGGAATTAAGTTGGACTACAGATCCTATGATGATATTCAAGACCAACCAAATTCTTCATGAAGCATGACACATCTTGTTTATGTGTGCCTCCCAGTTGCAGCCCTAAGGTGGCCTTATCACAGGGTTTCTTGGCAAGATCCCTTCAAGAGAAAGTTTGCCATTGTCTTTGTGAAGCTGAGAGAATGTGACTTGCTGAGTGGGAATGCAAATCCCAGTCTCCTAGAAATATAATCCAACACTCAAACCTATATCAGCCTAGGTCTACAAGACAACAACACCCCGTTTATAAAGGCAGATTTATGACTTTATTGGCCTTGAGGTTTAGAAAGCTAACTGGGAATTTTTGTAATGAAAGAGAATGATGGAATCATAGAGTTGGAAGAGACCTCATGGGCCATCCAGTCCAACCCCCTGCCAAGAAGCAGGAAAACTGCATTCAAAGAACCCTCGACAGATGGCCATCCAGCCTCTGTTTAAAAGCCTCCATAGAAGGAGCCTCCACCACACTCTGGGGCAGAGAGTTCCACTGCTGAACAACTCTCACAGTTAGGAAGTTCTTCCTAATGTTCAGATGGAATCTCCTTTCTTGTAGTTTGAAGCCATTGTTCAGCGTCCTAGTTTCCAGAGCAGCAGAAAACAGGCTTGCTCCCTCCTCCCTATGACTTCCTCTCAAATATTTATACATGCCCCACATCATGTCTCCTCTCAGCCTTCTCTTCTGCAGTCTAAACATGTCCAGCTCTTTAAACCGCTCCTCACAGGGCTTCTTCTCCAGACTCTTGCCTCTAGGCACATTCCAGCTTGTCAACTTCTCCCTTCAATTGCAGTGCCCAAAATTGGACACAGTATGATTCCAGGTGTGGTCTAACCAAGGCAGAATAGAGGAGTAGCATGACTTCCCTGGATCTAGACACTAGACTCCTATTGATGCAGGCCAAAATCCCATTGGCTTTTTTGTGCCACTGCATGACATTGCTGGTTTATGTTTAAATTGTTGTTCATGAGGACTCCAAGATCCTTTTCACATGTACTGCTGTCTAGCCAGGCGTTCCCCATTCTGTATCTTTGCATTTCATTTTTTCTGAAATGTTCAAAGCCCACTTCCAAAACAAATGCAGCCCTGCCTGCAGGAAAGGGTCAGAAGTGGAATGGATTGCCCCATAGCATGGCACCATGACTTAAATGTCCACGACACTCCCAGACCCCCCTCCTTCCCTTGACTCCAACATTAACCACTCTATCCATACATGCAGCGTCTCCTCGCCTGTGCGCAGGGCAGCGTGAAGTCTTGCCAGGTCGGCATCTTTATCCTTCAGGGCCTCTTGGAGGTGCTTCACTTCACGATGGACTGACTCCAGGGCCAAGAAATTGCCAGATAATGTCTTCTGTTGGATAGAAACAATACAGAAGGAGAAGAAAGACCAGAAATGAAAAACATGAAAATCTGTTTTATATCAAATGAAACAAATGGTCTACTTGAAGTTGGGAAACAGATAAGTCAAGGTGTACTGATAGCGGACAGGGCCCCCTGGTGGGGCAGTGGGTTAAACTTGCTGACCAAAAGATTGTTGATTCGAACCCAGGGAGCAGGGTGAGCTCCTGCTGTCAGGCCCAGTTTCTGCCAACCTAACAGTTTGAAAACATGCAAATGTGAATAGATCAATAGATATTATTTCTGTGAGAAGATAACCCACCCCCCCCACCCCCCCCCCCCCCCCCCCCCCCCCCCCCCCCCCCCCCCCCCCCCCCCCCCCCCCTGCATCCATGCAATCATGCTGGCCACATGACCTTGGAGGTCTCTATGGACAACGCTGACTCTTTGGCTTAGAAATGGATATGAGCACCACACCACAGAGGCTGACACAACTAGACTTAATGTCAGGGGAAACCTTTACCTTGATTGGTAGCGGAAGATCAGTAATCCAGACATCAAAATGAATTGCTTTGGGTCTATAATTGAAATGACTACTGCAACACACTCTATGTGGGGTTGCCTTTTAAGATGGTTCGGAAGCTTCAAATAGTTCAACAAGAAGCAGCCAGGTTAATAACTGGGGTGGCATACAAGGAGCACACAACTCCCACGTTACGTCAGCTCCAACGGTCGCCTGTTTGCTACCGGCACAATTCAAAGTGCTGCCTTTGGCCTATAAAGTCCTATATGACAACAGCCCAATTTACCTGTCCGAATGCATCTCCCTTTACGAACCACTGCGAAAATCAAGATCTTCTGGGGAGGCTCTGCTCTCGGTCCCACCACCTTCACAGGCACGTTTGGTGGGGATGAGAGACAGGGCCTTCTCAGTGATTGCCCCTGGTTATGGAACTCCCTGGCAATATTATATCTGCCCCCTCCCTCCTGTCCATCAGAAGGATGGTGAAGACCTGGCTGTAGGACAAAGTCTTTGGGGCAGTGCAATGAGGCAAAATGGTGTCCTGAGATGGATGAATATAAGTGATTTTAATGTTTGTATATATTTATGTGTGGAGCCCCTGGTGGCACAGTGGGTTAAAGCACTGAGCTGCTGAGCTTGTTGACCGAAAGGTTGCAGGTTCAAATCCGGGGAGCGGCGTGAGCTTCCACTGTCAGCCCCAGCTTCTGCCAACCTAGCAGTTCAAAAACATGCAAATGTGAGATCAATAGGTACCAATCAGGTGGGAAGGTAACAGCACTCCATGCAATCATGCCGGCCACATGACCTTTGAGGTGTCTATGGACAACGATGGCTCTTCGGCCTAGAAATGGAAATGAGCATCATACCCCAGAGTTGGACACAACTGGACTTAATGTCCCAGCATTGAATGTTTGCCGTGTATATGTTGTGCTCCACCCTGAATCCCCTGTGGGGTGAGAAGGGCGGAATATAAATGTTTTACATAAATAAATCATTACCCAAGCCGGATAGCTACTCACTTTGATACCAGGGAAATTCAGAGAATTTTAGTTGAAAACAATATGACTCCAAACTCTACTATTGCACAGGTTCACAATTCTCCAAACAGTCAATGATACCTAACCTACGTCCAAATAGCACACACAAACCTTTGTTGTTTTTGAATAAGTTTTTTTCTGGCTTAAGGAAGCCTTTCCTTTCTTGGCCTGGGAGTGTGTGACTCACCTGAGATCTCTCAGTGAGTTTCCATGACTGAGCAAGGAATCAAACTCTGGACCAATGTTCAAACTACTACAGCATGCTCGCTCTTGGCAGAGATCTTACTCACCTCTAACACTTGGTCTCTGTCCTTCAGGCGCTGGGCCATTTGCTTGATCAAGGCTTCCAACACAGAAGGCTTGGTCCCTGGAGTCCCAAGAGACTGCAAGATCACCAGACAATCCTAGAAAAGAGGAAGAATATGCTTGCCTTGAAGAGTCTACTTCTTGGGAGTTTTCAAACATAGTCTAGATAGCCATATGTTGGGAGGGCTTTGATTGCATGTCATGGGGTTGGACATATCAACTATATGATATGAAGACACAGATATATAGAGACTTTCTGAAGAGCCCTGAGATCCTTCCACACCTCTTACTTCCTTTCTCTTGTTAGTTTTTGTTATTAATTATTATTATTATTTTAGATATAATATTAATTTATAATTCAACTACATGCTGCTGTGTTTTAATGATCAACTCCACAACAGCTGATATTTCCCCATGGCCTGTTTTACTTGCTGACCTCTATCATTTGTTTCATACTAGAAATATTGCAACCACAATGTTATGTGCCTGATGTGAGGATTTGAAAAAGGACGTCATGATGTGGCGGATTGACTGGAGAGGCATATGTCAGCAGCTGATTGGCTGAGCGTGCCAGGAGCCAGAGTTCTGATTGGCTTGCTGCTGGGACAAATGGTTTTAACTGCTACTTTTTCTTTGGACAGTGAAGAGAGTTCCGACTGCCAACTCTCTTGAAGCTTGGTCATTTTAAGGCATCAGTCATATTTAAAGACTAGTTAAAAGAACTGTTTTATTCCCTCTGTTTTTTATGTCAATTCAAAGAGACTGTTGTATATATTGTTGCCCTGTTTAAACTTTTGAACTGAAGTAAAGATACTGTTACTTATTACACAAGCCTGAGTGACACTTTATTATATTGCAGGTTATATCTTGGTTTAAATACTGTGGTAAAGCTTCTGCTTCTGTTTATTTACATTTATCAACCTGCACACCTGGGGCAAACAACCAGAAAATAAAGTTACCTACAGTATTAGATGCTGAGAGCATTCTCTTCAACAGACAGTAACTTCCTACAAACTGTACTGGTGACTTAAATCTGAGATAAAGATTATCACATATGCATTACATATAGAAAAACAGTTTTGCTCATGTGCTCTTTGTCTTTGTAACTCTTAATTTCTATATAATACAGACACTTGAAATAAACTCTGTCTATCCCTTTTGGAAAATTGCATTCATAACCTTTCGGGAAAACCAGGAATCTTTTGGAAAGGCATGACCTTGTTAGAGATCTTAACCTTCTGTAAAGTATGATCTTCATTATAAGAGTTAAAAACTCGCTTGAGTCAATCTTCTCCTTAGTGGTAAATGTCCACTAATATTCATGCAAGGCAACTGTGTTTCTCAGCTGTTAGACTGATATACCTAGATATTCATAGTGTCGCCTTTTAAAAAACATTTTCCAGTCTCATTGTTGTCGTTCCATTTTCCTATTCTGCATTTGGAAATGTTTGTTCAAAAAGCCACGTCTCGACTTTTTTCCGGAATGTTAAAAGGGAGGTGGCCGATCTAATGTCTATAGGGAGGGCATTCCACTGGCACTTTGCTTATCAATCTGGATACAGATAGCATTTGAATTAGTTTCTTTGTGCAGATAACACAGAGCGTTTTAACAGTCCATAGTCTAGCATCTCTCAGGTCTGAGAGTCTAATAGTGATCTAAAGCATTTTGTTTCTACTGACTTCTAAAATGGAGTCTGAGTCCTGAACAAGCCCAGTTCTGATCACATGGTCTGTAGTCCCTGCCACAACATAGAGTTAAGGAAAACTGCATACCAACACACACATATACAATACAGTAAGTAATCTGAACTATATGCAAACAACTAAATAGTGGAGGCTTGAGAAGGTTGCTATTTCCAGAAATCCCAACCAGTGCTGTGAGTAAGTTGGACTGAGGGTTTGATTGTTGTGTTTGCTTTTCTGCTCAGTTTCAGGACTCATCCTAGCTTTGCGTCCCAGCTGGGAGGACACAGTATGGCTAACATCCCACCCAACATATAGAAATCTTTGCAGGCACCACTATTCCATCCTCACAACACTACAGTGATATGCCTGACTAAAAGTCAAGCCAAAAGGGCGCCTAGCAAATTTCCCGTACTTGAATCTCAGCCTCCTCATTTCTTATGGACAGGCAGAACTCCACAGGATAAAAATTGCATTCTTGTTGTATGGCTTCAAATGTTTCTGATTTATGATGACTCTATCACAGAGTTTTCTTAGCAAGATTATTCAGAGGGAGTTTGCCAAATAATCATAAACGTTCCCTGCTGGATTTTGTCTGATTCAGTGGGCTCAGGAATCCTGCCAAAAGCAGCAACCTTGGGCCTCTGATGACGCATTCATTCCTTTGGTGCCCTTGTGAGAAAGGAATGAAAGAAACACGAGAAGTGACCACTTGTGACCTGAAATGCCAGCTTCTTCTCCCTGACCCCAAGTCACCTGTAACAGCTTTTCCTTGCTCTGAAGGCATCTTGTCATTTGATGAATCAAACGCTCTTGACTTCCCATAGTTTTCTCAAGTGGAAGGCCAGTCTCCTATGAGAGAGAGTAGTTAAGAGAAAGAGGGACAACGAAAATTAGATGGGTTGTTTTGTCATTTTGTTGCAAGTATTAGTTCTGCTCAGGGTGACTCTTCTATTAAGTAGATGTTGGGAAGCAGTCATAGATGTCCCTTTGGCTGTTCCTCCCTCATGATAGAATTTGCCTCTTTTGTTTATAATGTATTGGGCCTGGTCCTATTCAACACCTTTATTAATGACTTTATTAATGAAGGGTTAGAAGGCACAATCATCAAGTTTGCAGACGACACCAAATTGGGAAGGAGAGCCAACACTCCAGAAGACAGGAGCAGAATTCAAAATGATCCAAACAGATTAGAGAGATGATTGGCCAAAACTAACAAAATGAAGTTCAATAGGGACAAATGGAAGATACTCCACTTAGGCAGAAAAAAAATGAAATGCAAAGATACAGAATGGGGGATGATGCCTGGCTCAACAGCAGTATGTATGAAAAAGATCTTGGAGTCCTCCTGGACAGAAAGGTGGACATGAGCCAACAATGTGGTGCAGCAGCAAAAAAAGCCAATGGGATTTTGGCCTGCATAAATAGGAGTCTAGTGTCTAGATTCAGGGAAGTCATGATATCCCTCCGTTCTTCCTTGGTCAGATCACACCTGGAATAATGTGTCCAATTCTGGGCACGACAGTTGAAGGGAGATGTTGACAAGCTGGAATGTGTCCAGAGGAGGGCGACTCAAATTATCAAGGGTCTGGAAAACAAGCCTTATGAGGAGTGGCTTAAAGAGTTGGGCATGTTTAGCCTGCAGAAGAGAAGGCTGAGAGGAGACATGATGAGGGCCATGTGTAAATATGTGAGAGGAAGTCATAGGGAGGAGGGAGCAAGCTTGTTTTCTGCTGCCATGGAGCCTAGGACACAATGGAACAATGGCTTCAAACTACAGGAAGGAGATTCCACCTGAACATTAGGAAGAACTTCTTGACTGTTAGAGCTGTTCAGCCATGGAACTCTCTGCCTTGGAGTGTGGTGGAGGCTCCTTCTTTGGAGGCTTTTAAGCAGAGGATGGATGGCCATCTGTTGGGGTGCTTTGAATGTGATTTTCCTACTTCTTGGTAGGGGGTTGGACTGGATGGCCCACGAGATCTTTTTCAACACTATCAAGTCAACTTATGGCAACCCTACAAATGAGAGACCTCAAAGTCACCCTATTCTCAACTGTCTTGAAATCACAGAATCCTAGATGTTGGAGATTCAGAGCTATTGCTTTCTCATTTAGATGTTTGTCACCTGGAGAAATAAAGCAAAGATGCTCCCAAACAAGAGAGCAACTTGATTAATGTAACCCCACTCTTCCCTGATGTGCTTCCCATCCTCATGTGGGATTAGCCTATGCACTGTTTGACAAAGCTTGGGGAAAGATTCTTTTTCAGACTCCCAGCTCCTCAACCAGCAAGGGCAAGTCAAACGAGAACCCTCCACAACTCAGGTCAGATCCATAATGTGGGGGTTCCCTCATCACTGCTTTAGAGCAGTGGTTCTCAACCTGTGGGTCCCCAGATGTTTTGGCCTTCAACTCCCAGAAATCCTAACAGCTGGTAAACTGGCTGGGATTTCTGGGAGTTGTAGGCCAAAAAACCTGGGGACCCACAGGTTGAGAACCATTGCTTTACTTGAACTGAAGTAAACACCGAAATAAAACAACCCTTTACCTGGCTTGCCACTTCTCCTCCCTTCTCCTGGAAGCTCCTGAGCTCCTCCTCAGCTGCCTTGAGACGTTCCTTCAGGTTGTCAAAAGCTCCTTGGAGGTCCTGGTGTAGTGTCCGCTGAGCTTGGTGCTTTGGGGAGAAAATAAATTAGATAGAATCCTAAATTAGGAGACAGAAACTAAGACAAAAAATATTGTCTTAGTTTCTGGAAAAGATCTAAGAGCCTGGATTTATGGGTTCTACTTTCTCTGACCAGGACTTGAAGGATGTGACATTTTTCCTCCACTGGAACTTCAGCTATGCCATATTCCTCCACATCATTTGGCGTATACCAAGCATGGGGAAACTTCGGCCCTCTGGTGTTTTGGACTTCGGCTGTTAGGAATTGTGGGAGTTGAAGTCCAAAACACCTGGAGGGCCAAAGTTTGCCCATGCCTGCTGTAGACCATACTCCTTAAACTAAAAAAGTAGCTAAAAAGTTACAATTACATTGTGTAAGGAGTAAAGTCAACAAGATACAACCAAAATGCTATGTAGTTATACCTTATTTGATGCAGAAATAAATTACAAGTTGCTAGTTATGTCTAAGTAGTTACAGTGGACCCTTGATATCTGTTAGTTTTGTTCCAGGATACTCATGGAAACAAAAATCGGTCCCATTACAGTCAGCCACCCACATTTGCTGAAGTTAGGAGCACAGGACCTTCATGAAAGTGCTATTTTTAACCTCAGAGAATATCTTTATAAGAACATCTAGGTCTTCCAGCATGGCTCGATGGTCAACGTTCACACTAAGCCAACTGGAAGATCTACAGATTCCAAGGAGAACATTTTAACCTAAACTGTGAATAATAAAACCTGCAAAGTCAAACTCACAAATGTGGAAGGGCCAACTGCTTATACATTGGTGTAGCAAAATGGCATCCCTTGTATAAAATGGTGGATAAGTCAAACAAGTGTCTTGGAAAGTCTAGAACAGTGTTTCTCAACCTTCCTAATGCCGCGACCCCTTAATACAGTTCCTCATGTTGTGGTGACCCCCAACCATAAAATTATTTTCATTGCCACTTCATAACTGTAATTTTGCTACTGTTATGAATCGTAATGTAAATATCTGATATGCAGGATGTATTTTCATTCACTGGGCCAAATTTGGCACAAATACCTAATATGTCCTAATTTTAATACTGGTGGGGTTGGAGAGGATTGATTTTGTCATTTGGGACTTGTAGTTGCTAGGATTAATAGTTCACCTACAATCAAAGAGCATTCTGAACTCCACCAACAATGGAACTGGATCAAACTTGGCTCACAGAACTCCCATGAACAACAGAATATACTAGAAGGGTTTGGTGGGCACTGAACTTGAGTTTTGGAGTTGCAGTTCACCTACATCTTAGAGAGCACTGTGGACTCAAACAATGATGCGTCTGGACCAAACTTGGCACAAATACTCAATATGCCTAAATGTGAACACCGGTGGAGTTTGGGGAAAATACACCTTGACATTTGGGAGTTGTAGTTCACTTACAATCAAAGAGTATTCTGAACCCCACCAACGATAGAATTGGGTCAAACTTCCCACACAGAACTCCCATGACCAGCAGAAAATACTGTGTTTTCTGATGATCTTTGGTGACCCCTCTGACATCCGCTCATGACCCCCCCCAGGGGTCCTCACCCCAGGATGAGAAACGCTGGTCTAGAAGCTGTGAGTCAGAGAAGACCTTAGTTCTCCCCATATCTTCGTGCCACTTACCTTTGCCTCCAGTGGCATGAACTCATCCACCATGTCTTCACATGCCTCCTCTCCCAAGGGACTCTCCCTCTGAATTGGGAAGACGTAGCTATTCCTGGCCAGCACTGGGATCTTGCTGCCTTTGGGAACTCTCAGCTGTTTCCGTCCAATGCCCCTCAGGGCTCTCAGAGCCTCCCAGGACAGATCCAGCTCTGGCAAGGTATCCAACGACAGCATCGAACATGAATCTGCCTCCCCTAGACTTTGAGACCTCAGAGAGGCTCGGGAGCTTGCGTGGTGCACTGTGGGCATGCTCTGGGATTTATCTCGGCACAGGGGGAAGATGGGAGATGACACGCCCAGCCTTCTGGGGGTCCGGCACACCCACTCGTAATCAGAGTCCTCAACCCGAAGCCCGTGGCAGCTGCGGCATTGCCGGTTGCGGCAGGGTGAGCCTGGTTGGCTACTGTCTGTGTCGTTTGCCCAACACTCATATTCGGAGAGTGCCATGTCATCCTGCAAGAGACGCTGGTATCGGACATGTGGCAAATCTGCTATGCTGGCTGAGATCTCTTGGCCTGTGTAGGACAGCACATCCTTTTCACCTGGAAACCGCCGTGCATGGATGTGGCGCAGGGAGCGGGCTAGCTGGTCCTTCTCTGAAAGGAGGCGCTGGAGCCGGTCGATGGAGAGTGCTTGGACCCGGGCAATGACAGTGTCAAAGCGGTACACGCGGCCCAAGGCCTGGGCACACTTTCCGCAGAGGAACTCTCCACGGCCATCTCCACGCTGGGGCGGCTGTCGGTCAAGGACAAAGGACAGCACCACCAGAAGGTCAGGGCGTGAGTTGCCACCACTGCGGCTGAATAACCATCGCCGATGGTTGCCACGCAGCACTGCGCCACATAGGCGACAGAAATTGTTGGGGCTATCCATGAATACAGAACCAAGGAGGAAGAAAGGAGAATCTTATGTTCTCAGTTTACGTCCAGTCTCAGAAAGGGGAGTCCTGTATTCTCTGTTTCTCTCCAACGTTGGAAAGCAGAAACTTAAATTCTCAGTTTATGTTCAGTTTCAGAAGGAGAATCCAGTATTTTCAGTTTCTCACCAATCTCAGAAAAAGAAATCTTGTATTCTCAATTTATGTCCAATCTCAGAAAGGGGAACATTATATTCTCATGTTCTTTCCAATCTCTGAAACTGATTCTCAGTTTCTCTCCAATCTTAGAAAATGGATTCCTGCACTGATCTAGTTCTAGACAATTATAAACTACTACAAGATCTACAAATTCTTCAAGACTAAAAGGGCACTTTCAGCATGTTCAGCTTTAACTTGGCTAGTCAAAAAACTGAAAATTTCCAAATTTCTCAGTCTCACTAACTGATAATAGGCTTCAGATCCCCGCTTTAGATCCAAATGTCTAGCATTATTTTTATTTATAAATATCCGGATCACTCCAACACAAATTCACTTTGATTTGTTAATCTGGTCCTCTCAAATCTTATTCTCATCCCAATTAAACCCAGAAATCAGTGTCTAAATTCTTGTATTAGGGTAATCAGATAGAGGTATTTCCAACTGGGGAAAGTTCACAAGGTTAGTCAGATTTGGTTAGTGGAAAAGCAATCGTCTTTTCTTTTCACATTCCATCATCTTCTTGTTGTGGATTAATCCCTATAAACACAGGAAAAAAATAAGATCAGTAAGGTTTCTGCAAGAATGGCCAACATAAACAAACAATGAGCTGGATGGGCAAATATTTTGACCTGCTGGTACAAGATTACTCTTGATTTTCTAAGGAATTCCTGAGAAGTTGTAGTAGCAAACAGAATGAACTCTGTTACACTGGTTAATGAGTCGCTAGGAGTCATTAGCTGGCATGGTTATGGAACCAAGCTTTTGACTTCTAAAGTAACAAAGTGCAAGACGTAAATATGGAATATGTGTAACTGACATCTGGAATGGCTTGGTTTACAAGTTTGGATTATGTGATTTTAATGGTTTTATTAGGTGTTTTTAATTTTGATATTTCATGTTTCAATGTCCTATTATCTTATGGTGAATTTGTCTTATTGTATTTTATGCTTAGTCATATGCTGTTTGACGTATGATTTGGTTTATATATGTAAGGCATTGAATTTTGCCATTATTTTTTGTAAACCGCTTTGAGTTCCCCCAGGGATTAAAAAAGCGGTATATAAATACTGCAAATAATAAATAAATAAACTGTCCTCTATGAAAGAACTGGCCCAAGACATTATGCCACTGAAATAGAGTCATAAATTATCTCCAAAGTCATGGTACATAGTATGGAAGGCCAACCAGATTATTTGTGTACCTCTGACAGAAAATCCCACAAATACCTGGCAGGAATTTCAGTGGAAATCATCACCACCACCATCATTGTTATAATCACCATCATTATCATCACTAAAAATACAAGTTCACAATTTGGAAGAACCCCTGGATTCGGTTCTGAGCCTGGAGGCCCAGGTTTCGATAGTAACTAGGACTGTTTTCACATAGTTAAAGCTGCTATGCCAATTGCTTCCATTCCTGAAGAACTCCGATCTGGCCACAGTGGTACATTTCATAGTTACGTCCTAGTTGGATTACTACAGTGTGTTTCTACACTTTTGAATTAATGCAGCGTGACACTGCTTTAACTGCCATGGCTCCATGCAATGGAATCCTAGGAGTTGTAGTTTTACAAGGTCTTTAGCCTCCTCTACCAAAGAGTGCTGGTGCCTCACCAGATTACAAATATCAAGATTACATAGGATGGCACCATGGATGGTAAAGTGTGTTGAGGTAAGTCATAGCAGGACCAAGTGTGTGTGTGTTTAATAAAAACATTATAGTGTTAATTATCATGTGCAGCTGGTAACGTAGGTCAACCAGCAAGCTTCGGCCATGCCCGATGGTGTATAACTGTATGAGTTTTTAGAATACACTTCTGGAGAGCTTCTGGAGAGCTTTTTCTCTGAGGAGATCTATGCTCAAAGGCTTGGGGAGCAGTTTGGAGAAGCTACTCTGAAGGAGGCTGTGGTGGAATAGCTATTTACTCAAGGTTTATGTTTTGTATGCAACACTGCAAGTTTATATTTCATCTCTGCTATTAAGGGTAAATATTTTTCTGTTCATTTTTCCTCTTGTCTGTGAATTTATTGCATTTAGACTTTGGGTGCTGGGTAAAATCCACTGCTGCACAACAAATGGTATTAAACAGCATTAATTCAACTGTGTAGCTGCACCCTTAAAGCTGTCCTCAAACCTCTTTTGGTTTCCCACCCATGTGCCGCCAAGAAACAAAGCTCCAACAACCACACAGTTTCCGCAGCTTGTGGACATATCACAGATGTCTATCTTTGCAGTGGACAATGCGCATGAAGTTCTGAATAATCACATCTGTTAAATTCAATTTAAAAGGCTCAAGCTAATTGCACTTCATCAGGGAGTTTATTCAGATCATTACTTTTAATGTAATCATTCGCTATGATCTTGTTTTAGAATTTAGAATCAATTTTATACATTTAATCCTCAGAGGTAGATCTAAACTGAAATTGGACTAAATTTAACTGCATAAAGAAGCATGGAAGCAATTACAGCCCTCAGACATGTTCCAGAGTGTGGTCCTTGGTCACACTACAGTTGTTTTTTCTCTACTCAATGGTACAGATAGATCTGCAAGGATTTAAAATCTAGGATGCATCTACATGGTAGAATGAATGCAGTTTGACAGCACTTTAACTGTTATTGCTCGATGCTATGGAATCCTGGGAGTTGTCGTTTGGAAAAGTATTAGCCCTCTTTGGCAGAGAGCACTTTGAAAAACAACAACTCCCAGGACTCCATAGCACTGAACACTGGTTCCCAACCTTTGGTTCTCCAGTTGTTTTGGAATTCAACTCCCAGAAATCCCAGTCTGCTTACCAGCTGTTATTGGAAGTCCAAAACACTTGGGAGGACAAAGGTTGGGAACCGCTAATATTGAGCCATGGCAGTTAAAATGTTATCAAACTAGATAAAATTGGAATATGATCATGAGCTGCAAAATTTTAGGTCTAGAGACTGAGTCTGATGTTGAGAAAATGGACCCCAAATTATGAAACAGTATGAAATAATATAAACAGAAGCCACAGCTTCAGGAGTTTTTGTCTTACATTAACTTTTTGTATAAATTGTCGCTGTCTGATCGCACCCAAATTCCCTTCCTTTAATTTCCATAATCCCCTCACAATTAAGTCTGAGATGTGGAGGGAAGAACTCAATGAATTTGCGTCAGAGTTCCTGGGTCCGTTTCCTGCTCCCATTGCCAAGATCGGACTATCTCTGGGAAAGATCTAGCACACAGACCTCAAGCCAGCCTTACCTATTGAAATTATTTATTTATTTATTTATTTAGGGCTTTTATATCCTGTCCTTTCTCAACCTCCGCAGAGGGACTCAGGACGGCTAACAAAGTGGCACCCCATGGCGCCCACATCAAAACAAAAAATATAAATTAACAGCAATGTAATAATAATAATATAAAACAGTATAAACAGTATAAAACCATATAAACAATATAAAAACAATATAAAAACAGACAACAAATAGTCAGTGGTCACCGATTTAAATCATTATCCAAGGGCAGTCCATCAGTTCTAAATAAGTCAACATGTCAGTAGGTCAGCCTATTCTCCAAAGGCCTGATCCCATAGCCAGGATTTTACTTGTTTCCGGAAGGTCAGGAGGGATGCAGCAGATCTAATTTCACTCGGGAAGGAGTTCCATGGCTGGGGGGCCACCACAGAAAAGGCCCTGTCCCTTGTCCCCGCCAGACGCAATTGTGAGAATGGGGGGACAATGAGCAGGTTCTCCTCAGATGATCTTAGGGCCCTAGGTGGATCGTAGCAGGAGATACGTTCAGACAAGTAAACTGGGCCAGAACCATTAAGGTCTTTATAGGCCAAAGCCAGCACTTTGAATTGTGCTTGGAAGCTGATCGGCAGCCAGTGGAGCTGGCGTAACAAGGGTGTTGTGCGCTCCCTGTATCCAGCCCCAGTGAGCAGCCTGGCTGCCGAACATTGGACTAGTTCAAGCTTCCAGGTAGTCTTCAGAGACAGCCCCATGTAGAGTGTGTTGCAGTATTCTATTCAGAATGTAACAAGAGCGTGGACCACTGTGGCCAAGTCATGGTCATATTCTCCAAGTATCTGTTGTGTACATCACACTAACATTATTATGTTTACCAAAGTCAACACATTAAGCTCATAATGGACTCATTTCCCAATGCCACACCACATTCCTTTCTGATCTTGCTTTGGAAGAAGATCAGCAAATGAACTGACATTTCAAATGCTCCAATGACAATTTATTGAAATTCCCATCATGGGAAGAACCAACGTCCAAGGAAACCACTCAGTATGCAGATCCTAGCTGGACGGTTTTTCAGTCAATCAGGAGATGGTGATGATTTTTTGAATAGCTGTCAGATGAAATAAAAATGCTCTGTATTTGCACAATATTTCAGTACTTTGTAGTGTTTTATCTGCTGGCATCCTCTCTGGCCAGTGAGAATAAACCTCTGCTTTTACCTTCTACCTGACTGTACTTGATTTGGCCTTGTGGGAAGCTAGACATGCTAGGCCTCTGAACCTGTGGTTTTAGCAGAGCTGAAATCACTCAGCAAGTTTCCAGAAACAGCAGACCTCTTGGATGACCAGAGACTTGAACACAGGTTGAGATAAACCCGTTTGTTTAGCTCAAATAGTATTAAACAGAAGTTTGATCTGCCAGATTTCAGGGCCTGGCATTCAATATCGAGGATTTGCATTTGTCGGCCAATCCTTGGGGCAAGAGTGCTGCCTTCAAGCCACTTGTTGACTTATGGCAATGTCATGAATTTCATAAGGTTTCTTAGGCAAGGAAAACTCAGAGGTAGTTTACCCATTTCCTTCCTCTGAAAGCATCTGGTATTTGTTGTCTTTCTCACATCCTTGTAAAGATAGAGTATCCCTAACATGAGACAATGTACACAATCTTTTGTCTCATGCACAATAAGTTTCCAGTCCCAATTCAAGGTGCAGGTTATCACTTACAAAGCCCTAAACAGTTTGGGTCCTGCCTATCTTCACAATAGTGGGGAGCTTGGAGGAGTAGAGACACACTTTTGTATATTTTCTCAAAACTTGAGAAGTACTGGGTGCGTTACATTCTGTGTGCAAAAAGTCACAATGCCGTGCTGGCAGAGGAAACCTGTAGAACGTGCTTAGGGCGGAGGCGAAAAGGGAAAGTCACCTGAGAAGATTTATGTGCTGGTGTCTGCAGGCTTTCTGGTGGTTTTATTTTCCTTAAAAAGAAATAGGTGCGCATTAATAGAGCATATTCCTTACCCTGCAGGTATTCCCAGGTGTGCTGTGTCTAGACACATCCTCGTCTCTTTTTCTGACAGATAATAATCTAGATCTGTGTTATGATAGGAATGCAAGAATATTAATGGAGAATCCAGAAGGAGCTGACGGGCATTTCTTTTGCCCTGCTGTGCCAGGTGGCGAAAGGGCTCACAGTCTGACGCAGCACACCATGAATTGCTTATTGGAATATGGCCTTTACCATGTCTGCATCTGCTCTCCCAGTAATCAAAACAGGCACTTTGGATGCATCTGCACTGTAATGTTATAGCAGTTTGA